ATGTGCCTGGGAAAGCAGAATATGGCCCAGCCCCAACTCTTGCAGCCATTTGCAAAGTGAACCTTTCAAATAAATCATATTTAAAAACAAGATAAAGAGGAACATACATAGTCTTTCATGGTAGCTTAATTTTAAATCTCGTCCAACAGCCCTTTTTGTTTTGTTGCAACAGCTGTCGAGGAAGCTGTGAGGATCATTACTGGAGGGGCCCCAGAGCTGGCTGTAGAAGGCAACGGCCCAGTGGAAAGTAACGCAGTGCTCACCAAGGCCATCAAGAGGCCCAACGAGGACTCGGATGACGATGAAGAAAAGGGAGCTGTCGTCCCCCCCGTTCACGACATTTACAGAGCGCGGCAGCAGAAGCGGATCCGATGAGGCAGGCTCCAAACCTGCCGCTGGGAGAACTCACCCAGGATTTCCTCTCTGCCTCTTAAGTCATATGTTTAAAAGAGACAACACTTTGTTCCAAGGTTCTTAGAAACAAAGTATTGTCATTGGTGCCTCTATCGTATGGTTCTTGAGAAACCAACCAACCAACCTGTGTGAAGTTTAGAATATGGAACAGACCTATGCTCTAAACAAATAAGGTTTCAAAAATGTGAGAACAGTACAAAATGGCAGAACCACATTTTGTTCCCTCTTCAAGGGTGTCTTGTATGTGCCGTTTGAAGATCTGTGAGTTTTCAACAGTTTTATTTTAAAAACTGGATGGCTTATGATTGTAAAGCATTTTATCACATTTTCTGAGAAACTGTTGTTCTTGGTTTGCTTCTGTAGAGTCCTGCCTTATTGTTTTGTTTTTATTTATGGCAGAATGTATGGAGTCTGTTTTGTAGTTGAAAATTTTAAAACAGTCCTTTAAAAAAATAAAAGGGTCTCAACAACACCATGCCGCCTCCCGCTTCTTCATTCAGATTTGCAATAGGTACTAACGACATTATTCAGCCACTGTCATTTAAAAATAAATGGCAGAAATCCAAGGAAAAGTCATTCTGTAATAATTATAGTCATGTGTCACTAAGTGATAGAACACATTCTGAAAAATATGCTATTAGGTGATTTTGTCCATTGTGCAAGCAACACAGGATGTACTTAGACAAACCGTGATGGGATGGCCTCCGACACACCTAAGTTACGTGGCTTGTAGTTTGTTGTTGAAACGTTGTATGGCACATCACTGTACATACACTTAATCACACTTCCAGCCCACTCCCTGCTAATGTGCATAGGAAAGCAGCGGCACACGGCCCAAGTGCTTGGGCCCCTGCGCCCACCTGGGAGACCCAGATGGAGTCCCAGGATCCTGGATTCAGCCTGGCTCAGCCCTGGCCATTGCGGCCATTTCGGGAGTGAATCAGCAGATGGAAGATCTCACTCTGTGACTCTCCTTTCAAATAAAAATAAATTTTTTTAATCACATCTTGTTTCCTGATCTTTTATGGTACTGGCTGAGTGCATTTCTCACAGGCAAGTTAAATATTTTACAAACCCCCAATATGCATGTATTTCCCCCCAATTAAATGTGAGGCAGATTATTCATCTCCGAAAAGCAACACAAGTGTGGGGATCCTTTAACCACCTACCATATTCTCAAATATATTATTAATAGTGCTCAGTGCTCAAGAACATTTTTTTTTAGGCGCTATAAGCCACCACATGCAGTGCCGGCATCCCATATGGTTGCCATTTGGAGTCCTGGGTGAGAATTCCTGTCCTGGCTGCTCTACTTCCAATCCAGCTCCCTAGTAATGTGCCTGGGAAAGCAGCAGAGGATGGCCCAAGTGCTGGGGCCCCTGCACCCACCTGGGAGACCCAGAAGAAGCTCCTGGCTCCTGATCAGCCCAGCTCTGGCCACTGGAACCATTTGGAGAGTGAACTAGCAGATGGAAAATCCCTCCATCTCTCTCTCTCTGTAGCTCTGCCTTTCAGATAAATAAATCTTTAAACAGGTAAAGTGATAGCCAACTGAATTCTAGTTAGCATAAACAAAAATTCATCATGCAATTTTAGGCCAGAGAATTAGGCTTTGCTGTATGACAGCCACATTACCTCCTTTAAACTGATTCTTTAGAAAAATTACTAGACAGAGGGGCCAGTGCCATGACTCACTTGGTTAATCCTCTGCCTGCAGTGCCGGCATCCCATATGGGCGCCGGGTTCTAGTACCGGTTGCTTGCTCCTCCTCCAGTCCAGCTCTCTGCTCTGGCCCGGCAGGGCAGTGGAGGATGGCCCAAGTGCTTGGGCCCTGCACCCGCATGGGAGACCAGGAGGAAGCACCTGGCTCCTGGCTTTGGATTGGCGCGTGCCGGCTGTAGCGGCCATTTGGAGAGTGAACTAATGGAAGGAAGATCTTTGTCTCTCTGTCTATAACTCTACCTGTCAAATTTAAAAATCTAGAAAAAAGAAAAAAGAAAAATTAATACAGAAAACTGGGTAAGCCTAAATAACTGAATCAGAATGAAAGCTAAATACCAGGAAGGGAACAAATAAAACATGGTTATAAATAAACTATCTTATCTATTGGGAACATAATTTAGAATCTGAATTTAGATGGGATTAAATAATCTTAAAAAGCTTCAAATTTTCCATAAAACTCTTACAGAGGCTGGTGTTATGGCACAGTGGATTAAGCTGCTATGATGCCAGCATCCCATGAGGGCCAGTGCCAGTCCCAGCTGCTCTGCTTCCAATCCAGCTTCCTGCTTGTGTGCCGGGGCTTGGGCTCTGAACACCCATGTGGGAGACCTAGAACTCCTGGCTTTGGCCTGGTCCAGCCCTTGCTGTTTTGGCCACTTCAGCAGTAAACCAACAAACGGAAGATCTCTAATTCTGCCTTTCAAATAAATAACTCTTAAAAACAAAAGAACCTCTTGTAATACAAAAAGATTATCTTGAATCATTTTCTCATTTATGCATATCAAGGTTCTACAAGTTGTCATAAGCATGTTTAGTCTCCCGCATTTTCTCTTAAAGCTGAAATTGCCTTAAAACACAGTTGCCTCTCAGATTTTCTGATCCTCTATAGTATCACTTTAAGTTGTGTGGGTTTTTAAAATATATTAAACAAAACCATCTTAGAAAATTATGTACTTATTTTTCATTTATTTGCGAAACAGATAGACTGACAGGTCTCCCATCCACTAGTTTGTTCCCCAAATGCTCCCAACAGCGGAGGCCAGACCAGGATGAAGCCAGGAGCCCAAGAAATTCAATCTGATTTCTTTTTTTTTTTTTTTTTTTGACAGCCAATGTGGTGGATTCAAAGGTCTTCCTTCTGTTGGTTCACCCCCCAAATGGCCACTATGGCCGGCACCTGCGCCGATCCGAAACCAGGAGCCAGGTGCTTCCTTCTGGCCTCCCATGTGGGTGCAGGGCCCAAGGACTTGAGCCATCCTCCCGGGCCACAGCAGAGAGCTGGACTGGAAGAGGAGCAACCGGGACAGAATCCGGCGCCCCGACCGGGACTAAAACCCAGGGTGCTGGCACCGCAGGCGGAGGATCAGCCTAGTGAGCCGCAGCGCCGGCCATCAATCTGATTTCAACATGGTTGTAGGGACCCATTACTTGAGCCATCACTACTGCCTTATAGGGTACACATGGGGAGCAGAGTTGGAACTTGAATCCAGGCACTGATAGGAGATGTGGGTAGCCCAAAGGAGCATCTTAACCACTGGGCCAAATGGCTGTCCCAACAAAACAATCTTTTTTTTTTTTTTGACAGGCAGAGTGGACAGTGAGAGAGAGAGACAGAGAGAAAGGTCTTCCTTTGCCGTTGGTTCACCCTCCAATGGCCGCCGCGGCCGGCGCGCTGCGGCCGGCGCACCGCGCTGATCCAATGGCAGGAGCCAGGAGCCAGGTGCTTTTCCTGGTCTCCCATGGGGTGCAGGGCCCAAGCACCTGGGCCATCCTCCACTGTACTCCCTGGCCACAGCAGAGGGCTGGCCTGGAAGAGGGGCAACCGGGACAGAATCCGGCGCCCCGACCGGGACTAGAACCCGGTGTGCCGGTGCCGCTAGGCGGAGGATTAGCCTAGTGAGCCGCGGCGCCGGCCCCAACAGAACAATCTTAAAGGCACAAGTAGCAGCATGTGGCATAGATTTTAAAATAGAGAGGTACAGGGGCTGCCACTGTGGTGCAGCGGTTAAAGCCCCAGCTTGCAGCACCAGCTTCCCACATGGGCACCTGTTCTAGTCTTGGATGCTCCACTTCTGCTCCAGCTCTCTGCTATGGTCTGGAAAAGCAGCAGAAGATGGCCCAAGTCCTTGGGCCCTGCACCTGCGTGGGAGACCTGGAGGAAGATCCTGGCTCCAGATCAGCTCAGCTCTGGCCACTGCAGTCATTAGAGGCGTGAACCAGTGGATAGAAGACTTCTCTCTGGCTCTAGCTCTCTAACTCTTTCAAATAAATAAAATAATTATTAAAAAAATAAAACATAGAGGTACAGACTCCCCTGAAGTGCCATCTTTGGTGGTTAGTGCTTTGAAGATGATATAGTTCCAAACACCTGTAAGTGATCTGTAGTAGTGTTCCTCTAGGTAATAAGAGCTACAGGAACATGCATGGAAAATGACTTTTTTAGAATGTAATCAAGAGAAAACTGTACACATACGTACACATATATAATGTTAGACATCTGAATTTTGGAATCTAATGTGCAGACTCATGGTATAATCAGTCCTATATTCCAAAGGACTCTCATATATATTTATACATGGGCTAGACCAAAAGAAATTGACAAATGATACTCTCACCTTTTCTAAGAGCCACGATAACATCTCCAAGATTCTAGAACCAAATTTCAAGGACATCTGTAAATTTTTCCTAAACAAAAATTAGTCAAACACTGGCCTTTATCACTAAATTTAAAACAAGGTTCTATCCATATTGCCACACTTAACAAAGTAAAGACTATATAAGCCACTAGTAATGTAAAACTGAACAACCAAATTGTACCACCGAAAAATAATGAAAAAAATACACCACTTTTATTAGAATATTGATCTGGGTCAATAATTATGAATTTATTTATTTATTAAATATGAATATATTTAATTTTATATAATCCTCTGTTGACCTATAGTTGATACATAAATCACCAGGTTCACATTCTGTTTTCTTACATTTCCATTCCCAAAGCAAACTTCATTAAAATGGTTATTCACCAAGTAACACAATTCAGGTACATGTTACTGATTTAAGTACATCTTAATCATTCAACAGAAGTGTCAGCTTACCAAACTTTGGGAGTAAGAAAAACAGCCCAGCCATTTGCTAAACTTCCTTCCCTGTGTGAACACGACCAGAGTTCTGCCGTGGGCATTAAGGAGGACAGTGCTCTAAAAGGCAGAGGCAACACGAGTAAGAGAGAAAAGCAATAGTATGACTTCAGCTTGAAGGTTAGTTTTAGTTAGATGTTGCAGTTCAAAGTTCTCCGTGTTTAGTTCAGATAAAGCGAGCTTAAAAATTGTTGGGCTTACGGGGAGTCAAGTTTAGCCAGTGCTGCTAACATCACACATCTGATTCAAATTCGAGCAAGTGCCCTTGGTCACACCAGGATGACAGTGTATTTCTGGTTCTTAGGTTCAAAAGTTAAGTCAGGCATAACAGAAATCCACACGAGGAGAGTTTTAGGTAAAACCCTGCCTGTTTAGGCTTCTGACACTGATTTTTAGGTCTCTGGCTATTTCTGAAAGTACCGGTGAACATTTGATAGGTTAATAAATGGAGCTGATTTGGGCTTAAAGGTTATCCCCTTCCCCACCCGTGAGGTTGCCTGTGAATAAAAATGGTATCCACTAAAATAATTATATAATACAAAAATCTACTATAAATACAATTGCAAAGATCATTGTAGTTACTTATAGATTTTTTTTAAAAAAATGATAGTGCCTTTAAATATGAGTTTCATAGCCCATCATCCATTACCACTCAATCATCTGTTCTTTCCTTCGTGCACGCATTTAATTCAAATACTACGTGAGTGGAGATGAGGAGAAAACATCGGGGTCGAGGTGAACGCTGGGTGGTAAGGAACGGTAAGTCTGCAGGAGGCGATGAGAGGAAACAGCCGTGGGAGACGATGGGAGAAAACCTTCCCAGTGCGCTTGACTGAAGGGAGCCTGGACGCTAACCTGGGATCCACCCCTAACGCGGACGGGCATCAACGTGTAGAGGCTTCCATGCTCTCCGTTATTATTAATAAAATAAACAGACCCTCTCTATGTACACAGGATCCTAATATCCAGTACCAAACATAATCCCCATAGCAACAATATAGTGAATAGTGCTCCATTTTATAGATGAAAATACAAAGGCCCAAGGGAGAACGCCTGGTCCACCATCACACAGCCAGTGACAGGCAACAGAGGGGAAAAAAGGACCTGAACCCAGCTCTTCCTCTGAATCAGGAACTTTGCCACTGGATGTTCCGACTGGAAGGCGCAGTGTTCCGACTGGTCCCGCAGTGTGCGGGTGTGGGAGCCCAGCCCTGACTGGCCACCGTGAGGACGCACCGTGGCGGAGGTAGGAGCCCTGGCTTCCCTCCCTCCCACCCTACCTCAAAAGGAAAAGAAATGTTGTACTCAGAAACGGGGCATGCGCAGGGCACTGCACACCATGCACCCAGGCCTGGCCCCTTTGGCACGCACCAGCAGGGTTGGCGGCGGCAATCTCTCCTCTATTCCCAGGCATCTTAAGGCTTTGCAGAAAAGAACCGCAGCACCTCCACGAACACCGGCCGCCGAGTAGCCCTCCCAGAACCGCTGGCCTGTGTGAGCTTGCTGCAGGCCAGGAAGTCAACCTTACCGGTAACTTTTCTCCATAGAGAACACGTTCTCATACACCCAACCCACTGCATTTAATCAGTAAGACCCCCAATCAGTGTGGCTCTCATCTGAAGAATACTTATAATCGTGTTACATGGTTACATAAGTAACCACATTTTGCAGCTAGATTTAAAAGGAAAAGAGTTTAAGAAAAAACAAAAACACTTAGGCTAAGAATCCATCCGCCTAACCAAGAGCCAACAACGCAGCAGTTACTGCTCTAGACATCCATTCATTCATGAAAGCGTCGGGTCTAAGAGGCTTGGTGATAGTGACCTCCCTCTGAGGGCTCGGTCCTGTGCCCAGGCAGGCGGGTACTGCACCAGGGACACCCAGGATTTCATGCCGAAGCACTTGTCTCCACAAACCCGTCAGGAAGCAGGTCCCAGCCAATCATTCTGTAGTATGCAGAATCAATTCGATTCTGAAGAAGGCTACTGTATACTCCAAAGAACGTTTCGTCTTGGAGGGAGGGCTGTGGGGTGGGAGCGAGATACAAGCAGATGTTTAATAAGGTTTCCTGAGGGAGCAGTGAACTGCACGGATTTCCTGGCCCCTGCTGCTAATTCTGAGACCCCAGGAAGCAAATGAGCTCACTACCTTCCCGGAGCAGCAGAGGCTCCTGGGAACGCCGGCGCTCTGAACTCGGCCCCCTTCACCCTTGGCCTTGCCAGCTGCGCGTGTCCACTACTGAGGTAGAGGGGCCTGAGAAAGGCTGCGAGCTGCTTACTAGAGCTGCCTCACAATTTCAAGTGGCCCCAGCTTGTCAAGCTAGGACCCATGAGGAAGAAGAGCAGCCTTCCGGAAACTGGCGAAGAGGGGCCGGGGGTGGCGATGCCCCCTGCAGTGACAGCAAAGCTCCTGTCCTCCTGCCCGGAGCGGGAGGACAGGCCCCAGACGCCCGGAGGCTGAGCCGGGCCATCCCTGGGTGCTCGGAGCCCAGTCACCATTCACCAGGAGCAACGTTGCCCCACAGCGACCCCCACCTCAAAGAACACTTCCGGAAGCCACGTCACTCACAATGCACAGGTGTGACTTGGTTTTTTACAACTCCCCTGGAATACACTGTCTGCGCTTTACAGAGGCCCCAGGCTCGCCAGTCTCCTACCTGGGCCCTGAAGATGCCCTGACTCTACTCAGTGATTTTTTAAATGCATCCCATCACCATGGGTTAGAACTAAGTTCATCACTCATCCGTTCACGCATCAAAATCAGATCCAAGTCCTGCGTACGAGCCCTGGGACCACTGCGGTCTCCCCAGAAGCCCTGGGTCTGGCACTCTGTCTGCCCTCTGCCCAGTGCTGCTGTGGGGCCACCCGCCAAGGTCCGTGCAGCCACTTCCCCGCGCACAGCAGGGGCATCTGCCCGAGTCCCCGTGCAGCTGCCCCCGGATCGTCTCACCGAGCTCTCCTCCTTCTGCAGGAGCCAGGGAGGTCGCGTCCTTGTTTCTAAGCTTTAATGACGTCTTGACCACACAATGCAGCGTAAGTTTCCAACTAAACGACGGGCAGAGTCGCATGTATCCGAAGAACTCGCATCCCTCAGTGTACCCACTGACTTAAGATGCCTGGCGTCACAGGCGGCCTGCAGGGACTCCTCCCCCAGCCCCTCCCTGGGCCCCTCTGGCTCTGTCCTGCCCGGCCACGCCCCTCACCAAGGGCTTCCTCCAGCGGTTTTACCCCTGCTATTTGGGCAGCTAGAGAGCACTCCAACGGGCCCTCGGCTGTGCTCCTGCTAGACTGTCCCTGGGGAAAGCCCGTGGACTGCACGCACACGACACACAGGCCTTTAACAGAAAAGCTCATCTGTGAGACCCAGATCACTGTCGGGACCACACGACACGCCAGCAGTTCCGAGCACTGGAGTTCCTTGAAAAATACTGCTGAGAACCCAGAGATTCTCTGTGACTGCCTTATCTAAGAGATTACTGAGGTTGAGGTTGGGCTATTTTCCCTGAAGACACTTTAATTCCTTCTAGAAGTCTAATTCAATCAGTACATCTGTGTCTTGTATCAAAGTGAATTTTTCAGTAAAATCCACATTTTTCCTTTCACATTAATACATATATACACATACATACATATTTTCTAAAATTCCCTCCTAACTTTCAAGGCTTAAAAGAAAAAAAAACAAAACCAATGAAGTTCTTTTTTTTTTTAAGATCCTGTAAGTCACAGCTGCTATCATTCAGGTTGTGAGTAACTGTGGAGAAGAGCGGGCTTTTTAAAACAATAACTCTGTTCTGGAACAAAGGAGCTCTGAGGACCTGGCTAGGCAGGCAGGGAGGAAGTGCTGTGGGAGGGAGGCCACAGGCGCCCTCCCAACACAGAATACTGGGTGGCCACTGTGCAAGGCGGGGCTTGGTCTCTTCCTGTGGGAGCTGTGGCAGGAGGGTCTGAAAGACCTACTCCAGGCCGCAGGAGAGAGAGGCCGTGGCTGCTGCAACCACGGTGGAGAAGGAGTGCACACACAGGCAGCCAACTGTTTCAGAGCTGAGAGCTACCTACAAAACCAGGATAACAGGAAGCTGCTTTGATTTATCAACTTGCACTCGTAAATACAATCTCTCAAAGTGGAACCCAGTGGATTTCTCAACAGTGATACATGATATTCTTCCCTTTGGAGTCAGAGCTATTAAATAGACTTGTACTACACAGCCATTTTCCAAAGCAACATTAGAGTTGAGAACAGGTGTTCAGGGGCGAGTAGCACTGCTGCAGCACAGGGTGTCCACGTTAGGACCTGATGAGGATCTTACTGAGGATTGCGTCGTAGTAGGGACAGAAGACCATCTTGTTATAGTTGACCAGGCGTACAAATTTAACAGCGACTTCCTCCAGCTCCTTCTGAACAGGACCCAACCCTCCAGGTACTGCGGGCAGTGGTTTCTGATGGCCCCAGGCAAGGTAGGTCTCTAAGAAGGTCAGGATTCGGGATTCTGTGATGGGAAAGAAAGTGGTGAGTTGTTCCTTGTTCCAGAAACCATACGGACTTCTGACAGGCTTTGGCTCTTAGCTTAACCACCATGTCTTCACCGAACCCTTCTTCCTTGCCGCCCACAGCACCTCACTGCTTCTGAACATTCACCCCATTTGTATGTTTTCCTTCCTCTCCAGCAGGTCAGTTTCATGAAGGTAGGCACCACACTTATTTTGTTCATCATCTCTCCTCAGCACCCAGCACGATGCCTGGTATGAGAACTGGCTCCCCAGAGAAGCTCAAAACACATTTGTGGGGCAGGAGCTGTGGCATAGCAGGTTAAGCCACCACCAGCAGCACTGGCATCCCATATAAGCACTGGTTTGAGACCTGGCTGCTCCACTTCCAATCCAGCTCCCTGCTAATGCCTGGGAAAGCAGTGGAAGATGGCCCAGGTGCTTGGACCCCTGCACTCCATGGGAAATCTGGAAGATGCCCCTAGCTCCTGGCTTCAACTTGGCTCAGCCTGGCCCTTGTGGCCATCTGGGGAGTGAACCAACAGATGGAAGATTGATCTCTCTCTCTCTCTCTGTAACTCTTTGAAAACAAAAAAATCTCAAAACACCCGCACACACACACTTGGACCACAGGGGTGTGTACATGGATGAAAGGGGAGCTGAGCGCTGACCTGCTCTGCTCTCATATTGAGACCAACCATCATCGCTGGACGTCACATAAAAGGAGGACAAAATACAGCAGGAACTGTAAGTTCAATAAAGAGGGGAAAAAGGGACGACTCAAGCACCACTGACGGGGATCCGCCTTTTCTCACGAAGCCGTGAAAGACCAGGAGCTTCCTTCACTGAGCCTCCTGAGGGTCTCAGAAGCCACCAGCATCGTAAACCTGCCCCACTCCGAGCAGTAGTCTGGTTAACTCTTTTAGCACCTCCCCTCAAAGCATTTGTACTCTCCTGTTAGCCTCAACAGCCAAACAAGGTTTGCTCGTGTCACATTTTTTGCAGATTATAGAAATAATAGGGGCCAGCGCCGTGGCTCACTAGGCTAATCCTCCACCTAGCAGCGCCAGCACACCGGGTTCTAGTCCCGGTCGGGGCGCCGGATTCTGTCCCGGTTGCCCCTCTTCCAGGCCAGCTCTCTGCTGTGGCCCAGGAGTGCAGTGGAGGATGGCCCAGGTGCTTGGGCCCTGCACCCCATGGGAGACCAGGAGAAGCACCTGCTCCTGCCATCGGATCAGTGCGGTGCGCCAGCTGCAGCACGCCAGCCATGGTGGCCATTGGAGGGTGAACCAACGGCAAAGGAAGACCTTTCTGTCTCTCTCTCTCACTATCCACTCTGTCAAAAATAAATAAATAAATAAATAATAGGGACATTTAACTGCACACCCCAACCCCTGCCCTGGAGTATCTTCTCAGGTGCAAACAATTCATTTCCTTCCTACCAATGGGCTGGGGCCTAGCTCCCCATACCCAAGTTAGTGTGGCTCTCTAAGGCTCCCAAGGCTGGAAGCTTCACTCCAAAGTCGAGATCCTCGCATCATTCCCACCCAAGGCCTGGTTTTTATCTGCAGGGCTGTCCTGGATACCCTGGATATTATGAAGCAACCAAGACACCAGGACAAGGAGCAGTCTGTCAGCCACGACCTGGTTACAGAGCCCGTCCCACCTTGCTTCCAACTCAGAGAATGTAACCTTGAAGACCCAGATACTGTAAGATCTGCAAGAGCCCAACTCACCTTGCTGTGACCTGTGCAGGGTAAGGGGGAAGTAGGCTTTAAAACAGCTTAATTTAGAGGCCAGCACTGTGGCATAGCGGATAAAGCCACCGCCTACAGTGCTGGCATCCCATATGGTTCAAGTTCTGGCTGCTCTGCTTTTAGTCCAGCTCTCTGCCAAGCCCTAGGAAAGCAGCAGAAGACGGCCCAAGTCCTTGGGCCCCTGGACCCATGTGGGAGACCCAGAAGAAGCTCCTGGCTTCAGATCAGCCCAGCTGATTTGGGGGTGAACCAGCAGATGGAAGACCTCGCTCTCTCTCTGCCTCTGTCTCTGCCTCTCTATAACTCTGCCCTGACACTGTGGACAGAACAGACCTAACAGATATCTATAGAATTTTCATCCTACAATTGCATATACATTCTTCTCTCCAGTGTGTGGCACTTTCTCTTGGATTGACCACATGCTAGGCCATAAAGGAAGTCTCATCAAATTAAAAAAAAATAAAAATCATACCATGCATCTTAACAGACCACAATACAGTGAAGCTGGAAATCAGCAACTCAGGAATCTGAGAGCATATGCAAACACATGGAGACTGAACAACATGCTCCTGAATGAACAGTGGGTCACAGAAAAAAATCAAAAGAGAAGGCAAAAAATTTCTGGAAACAAATGAAGATGACAATACAACATAGCAAAACTTAAGGGATACAGCAAAAGCAGTGGTAAGAGGAAAGTTTAGAGCAATTAGTGCCTACATCAAGAAATTGGAAAGGCACCAAAAAAATGAGCTATGAATGTATCTCCATGATTTAGAAAAACAGCAAACCAAACCCAAAAATAGGAGAAAGGAAATAATTAAAAAGAGAAGAAATCAACAACATTGAAACAAACAAACAAACAATACAAAAGATCAGTAAAACGAAGAGCTGGTTTTCTGAAAAAAAAAAAAAAAAATGATACCCCATTGGTCCAACTAACCAAAAAAAGAAGACCCAAATCAATAAAATTAGAGATGAAAAAGGAAGTGTAACAACAGATACCAAAGAAATCAAAAGAATTATCAGAAATTACATATGAAGAGCTGTATGCTAGCCTACTGGGACACCTAAAAGAAATGGATTCCTGAACACATACAACCTACCTAAATTGAGCCATGAAGATACAGAAAACCTAAACAGACCAATTATCAAGATGGAAATGGAATCAGTAATAAAGGCCCTCCCAACAAAGAAAAGTTCGGGACCAAATGGCTGCACTGCTGAATTCTACCAGACATTTAAAGAACTAACTCCAATTCTTCTCAAGCTATTCAAAATAACTGAAAGGGGGGAATCCTCCCAAATTCTTCCTATGAAGCCAGCATCACCTTAATTCCTAAACCCAAAAAAGATGCAACAGTGAAAGAGAACTACAGACCAATTTCCCTATTGAACATAGATGCAAAAATCCTCAAAAAAATTCTAGCCAATCAAATCCAAATACATCAGAAAGATCATTCACCCAGACCAAGTGGGATTTATCCCTGTTATGCAAGGATGGTTCAACATTCACAAAATCAATGTAATACATCACATTAAAAAACTGAAGAACAAAAATCACATAATTATCTCAATAGATTGAAAGCATTTGATAAAATACAACACTCCTGCATGATGAAAGCTCTAAGCAAATTGGGTATGGAAGGGACATTCCTCAACACAATCAAGGCAATTTATGAGAAACCCACACCCAGCATCCTATTGAATGGGGACAAGTTGGAAACAATCCCACTGAGATCCAGAACCAGATAATGATAGCCACTCTCACCATTGCTATTCAATATAGTCCTGGAAGTTTTAGCCAGAGCCATTAGGAAAGAAAAAGAAATCAAAGGGATACAAACCTGGAACGAGAAAGTCAAAGTAGCAGGGTATAAAATCAGTGCAGAAAAATCCACAGCCTTTGTATACACAGACGATGCCACAGCTGAGAAAGAACTTCTAAAATCAATCCCGTTCACAATAGCTACAAACAAAATCAAGTATCTTGGAATAAATTTAATCAAGGATGTCAAAGTTCTCTACAATGAGAATTACAAAACACTAAAGAAAGAAAAAAAAATACAAAAAAATTGCAAAATCTTTCATGTTCTTGGATTAGAAGGATCATCAAAATGTCCATTCTTTTGAAAGCAATTTACAGATTCAATGCAATACCAATCAAAATACCAAAGCCATTCTTCTCAGATCTAGAAAAAATGATGGTGAAATTCATATGGAAACACAGAATACTTTGAATAGCTAAAGCAATCTTATATAACAAAAACGAAGCCTGAGGCATTGCAATACTAAATTTCAACGCATATTACAAGGCAGTTATAATCAAAACAGCCTATATTGATAGAAAAACAGATGGATAGACCAACGGAACAGAATATAAATGACAGAAGTCAACCCAAGCATCTATAACCAACTTATTTTGACCAAGGAACTAAAACCAATCCCTAGAGCAAGGACAGTCTCTTCAACAAATGGTGCCGGGAAAACTGGATTTCCACAGGCAGGAGTATGAAGCAGGACTCCTACCTTATACCTCACATAAAAATCCATTCAAAATGGATTAAAGACTTAAATCTGTGACCTGATACCATCAAATTATTAGAGAACACTGGGGAAACCCTGACCCCAGAGGCACAGGCAATCAAAGCCAAAATTAACAAATGGGATTACACCAAATTGAGAAAGCTTCTTTACTGCAAAAGAAACACTCAGGAAGGTGAAGAAGCAGCCAACAGAATGAGAGAAATTATTTGCAAACTATGCAACTGATAAAGGATTAATAACCAGAATATATACGGAGATCAAGAAACTCCACAACAACAAAACAAACAATGCAGATAAGAAATGGGCAAAGGTCTTAAACAGATATTTTTCAAAAGAAAAAATCCAAATGGCCAACAGACACATAAAAAAATGTTTGGGATCACTAGCTGTCAGGGAAATACAAATCAAATCAAATTGAGGCTTCACCTCACTCCAGTAAGAATGGCTTTCAAACAGAAATCAACAAACAATAAATGCTGGCGAGAAGGTGGAAAAAAAGATACCCTAATCCACTGTTGGTAAGAATGTAAACGTTCTCAGTATGGGGATGGGGATACCTCAGAAATCTGAATATGGACTTATCATATGACCCAGACATCCCACTTTGGGAATTTACCCAAGGGAAATGAAATCAGCAAATAAAAGTTATCTGAACCCCCATGTTTACTGTAGCTCAATTCACAATAGCTAAGACATGGAATCAACCTAAATGTCAACCAAAAACTGGATAAAGAAACTATGGAATATGTGCACTATGGAATACTACACAACAGTTAAAAAAAATGAAATCCAGTCATTTGCAACAAAATGGATGAATCTGGAAAACATCATACTTAGTGAAATAAGCCAGTCCCAAAGGGTCAGATATCATATGTTCTCCCTGATCTGTGATAATAGAGCACCTAAAAGAAAATCCATAGAAGTGAAATTGACACTTTGAAAAGCAATGAGTTGAACAGTCCTTGTCTTGACTGTCAAGGAAACATTTTCCTTCATACTATTTGTTGAATTCTTTACTTATCAGAGTTAATCATATGTGTCTAAAGTCAACTGAAATTGATCTCAGTGAAAAATAAAGAATGGAAATAAGAGAGGGAAGAGGAAGCCTGTAACTGCAAAGCTATATAGTTCCGCATACATTCCTGCAGACTTACTCCTAAAGGTACAGTTTATAAACTTACCATGGGGCCAGCGCCGCGGCTCACTAGGCTAATCCTCCGCCTGCAGCGCCAGCACCCTGGGTTCTAGTCCCGGTCGGGGCACAGGATTCTGTCCCGGTTGCCCCTCTTCCAGGCCAGCTCTCTGCTGTGGCCCGGGAAGGCAGTGGAGGATGGCCCAAGTGCTTGGGCCCTGCACCCGCATGGGAGACCAGGAGGAAGCACCTGGCTCCTGGCTTTGGATTGGCCCGTGCACCGGCCGTAGCAGCCACTTGGGGGATGAACCAACAGAAAAAGGAAGACCTTTTCTCTCCATCTTTCTCCCTCTCACTGTCTAACTCTACCTGTTAAAAAATAAATAAAATAAAATAAAACAAACTTACCATGGGATCCCAAATCCCATTAAGCTGGGTGGTAAAAATACCATCTTAAGTGTTAAAGTGATCATATTAAATGTTAAAGTGAACATACAGATAGGATTAAGTGTTCAAGTCATCATGTAAATAGGATCAAGTGTCTGATAAAAATAATAGATAGAATTAAAAAGGAGAGAATGTTCCAACTTGGAAAGCAGTCCACACAGCAGACTCATAGAATGACCATCGCTTTAAATAGTACTCTGATCTCAGAATCAGCTCTTAAGGCATGCTGGTCTGGCTGAAAAGCCCACAAGAGCATTTCCAGCATGGAAAGCCAGGACATTGTGGCAAAAAATGTCCTACATAAAGGATCTGTGAATGAGACCCCAGTGGAAAGAAGGGGTCAAAGAAGCATGTACTTTTCTCTGAAGGGAGGAGAGAACGTCCACTTGCTAATGGCCTTGTCTAAATACTGATGGAGACTGTGGATTCAAAAGGCAGCTCACGTCAAGAGCTTCGGGTGATCGCTGTTAAGTTAACAACAGGAGTCACTGTGCACTTACTTCCCATGCAGGAACTCTGTCCTCAATGAGTTGTATTATAAGAATTAACTGTGGCCGGCGCCGCGGCTCACTAGGCTAATCCTCCGCCTTGCGGCGCCGGCACACCGGGTTCTAGTCCCGGTCGGGGCGCCGGATTCTGTCCCGGTTGCCCCTCTTCCAGGCCAGCTCTCTGCTGTGGCCAGGGAGTGCAGTGGAGGATGGCCCAAGTGCTTGGGCCCTGCACCCCATGGGAGACCAGGAAAAGCACCTGGCTCCTGGCTCCTGCCATCGGATCAGCGCAGTGCGCTGGCCGCAGCGCGCCGGCCGCGGCGGCCATTGGAGGGTGAACCAACGGCTAAAGGAAGACCTTTCTCTCTGTCTCTCTCTCTCACTGTCCACTCTGCCTGTCAAAAAAAAAAAAAAAAAAAAAAAAAAAAAAAAAAAAAAAAAGAATTAACTGTAAAACTTGTTCTGTTTGTGTGTGTGTGTGTGTGTGTGCAAACTGTTGAAATCTTTACTTAGTATAGAGTTGATCTTCTATGTATAAAGTTAATTGAAAATGGAATCTTAATGGAGAATGGGACTGGGAATGGGAGAGAGAAGAGGTGGTGTGGTGGGAGTTGGTGTGGGAGGGCAGGTGTGGTGGGAAGAATCACTATATTTCTAAAGTTGTACTTATGGAATTTGTACTCCTTAAGTTTCTTTGGGGGGAAAAAACATAATTAAGTCAGGCTAAAGATTTTAATCTGAATTTTAAAAAGTAAACACTGTGCTCCTTGATCACCCATAAAACAGAATTCCTCTTAAGCTTTTCTCAGGTATAACTGACAAATGACTGCATATATTCACAGTGCGCATGTTTTAAAATAAGCATATATTACAGAATGATTAAGTCAAGCTAATTAATGGAACTTTTCATCTGCAGTGTCACTATTGTGAAGGTGAAAAGTAGCAGCTAATATAGAATTTTAAAAAAATTATTTGAGAGAGAAACAGCGAGAAAGCTTCCAGCTGCGGTTCACTCCCCCAAATGACCGTAACGGCTAGAGCTGGGCCAGGCTGAAGCTGGGAGCCAGACACTCAATCCAGGTGCCCCATATGAGCGGCAGGGACACAACTACTTGAACCATCACCTGCTGCCTCCCAAGGTGCACATGAGCAGGAGCCTGGAATCACTTTTATTATGAACAATCTGATACCTTTATATATTAATGCATTCAGCAGCACTGTTTTGATGAGTTAAGTATTTTTGTAGTTTCAACAAATAAACTGTTAGCCAACTGGCAAAAGGGCTTTATATATGAAATACATGGCATCTGTTCACCTTAAAATAAAATTTTCTTGAAAAAAGAGCTTCTTGAAAAAATACATCCATGCTCAGTCATCTTTTTTTTCAAAACTCAAGAGATTACTAATGGGCAGATTACTAACTCATCCTGATATGAAGTAAGGCTAATTACAAACTATGGCTCAAAGCCACCTCCCACTATGCTTGATGGCACTTTGCTTATTTTGTTACAGGTTACAATTGCTTTTCCTCCTGGTATATTTTCAGAAAGCTTGCTTCTAAGAATCTATAAAGAAGGAAATTATTTATATCACATTAAATATGAACACACACTCCTTTTCTCTGACCTTACATTTATGATGGCACTTGTGCTTTTTTAAAAAATAACTTTTATTTACAAAGGGGGAACAAATTTTGTGTATTTCATATATATAGACCTGGGTGTACAGTGATACTTCCCATCCTGACCTCCCCACTCCTTCCTTATTCCTTCCTTCCTTCCTTCTTTTTTTTTTTTTTTTAAAGATTTATTTATTTGAAAGTCAGAATTGGGGCTGGCACTGTGGCTCACTTGGTTAATCCTCCGCCTGCAGCGCCGGCATCCCATGTGGGCGCCGGGTTCTAGTCCCAGTTGCTCCTCTTCCAGTCCAGCTCTCTGCTGTGGCCCAGGAGGGCAGGAGGATGGCCCAAGTGCTTGGACCCAGCACCCTCATGGGAGACCAGGAGGAAGCACCTGGCTCCTGGCTTTGGATTGGCGCAGTGCCGGCCGTAGCAGCCATCTGGAGAAAGAACCAACAGAAGGAAGACCTTTCTCTCTGTCTCTAACTCTGCCTGTCAAATAATAATAAAAAAGGAAAGAAAGTCAGAGTTACACAGAGAGAGAATGAGAGAGAATGAGAGAGAATGAGAGAGAATGAGAGAGAATGAGAGAGAGAGAATGAGAGAGAGAGAGAGAGAGAGAGATCTTCCATCCATTGGTTCACTCTTCAATTGGCTACAACGGCTGGAGCTGCACCAATCTGAAGCTAGGAGCCAGGAGCTTCTTCAAGGTCTCCCAACTTGGGTGCAGGGGCTCAAGCACTTGGGCCTTCTTCTATTGCTTTCCCAGGGATAGCTGAGAGCTGGATGGGAAGCCGGGTTTTGGACCCGTGCCCAAATGAGACACCCACACCGTAGGCAGCAGTGGCTTTACCCGCTGTGCCACAGCGCAGGCCCCTCTTTATTCCTTTCCTTCTTTTGACGTCTGACCCACCGCTTCCCAGCCAGGCCTGCCGAGCCGCACGGTGGGCGCTGGGACCCCCACGTCAGCTCCCTCGGGGTCCCAGGCCGCCCCCCACCACCAGCACTAGTCGCCTCAGGGACACAGTCCCCGCCCGCCGCCCCCTTACCACTCACACACGTACCCATGAGCCTGCGGACCGGCTCATCGGCACTGGCCAGTGCCTGGATGTGGCCCTTGAGCGCTGTCTCCTTGTCCGGGGTGCAGGGGGCGGCCCCACACAGGGCGAGGCAGCTGCTCACCTCCAGGCAGACCTTCTCCCCGATGGTGGTCAGGGCATCCCTCAGCTGGAAGGAGCTGGGAAGGGAAGGGGAAGCCGGAGAGAGCAGGCCGATGAACAAGCAGCCCGGTAGCCCCTCCTGGTAGCCCCTCCTGGCGCCGCCCACGCCCCTCCCCTCGGGCCCGCCTGGGGGGCTTCCGTTCCCAGAGCTCGGTGGGCCTGGGCGCCAGGAAGCAGGCCTGGCGCTCACTGGAGTCTGTCCCAAGATAGCCCCGGGCAGGACACCCAAGAAGCCCGGAGCCTGGTGGCTGTGAGACAGTTTCCACCAGATGCTCTTTTGTTCCTTTTGACTTTTTGAAACACTTTAGCATCTGAACTGTTTTAAAATAAAGAATAACAACGAAAACTAAAATCCAAACGTTAAAAAAGCATTGCCACTATGATCCCCTGGGGCCCAGACTCCCTTCCAGCTGTGGGGAGCCCTCCTGCTGTCCAGAGTTCTGAGAAGGTTGCTGTCTCTGTTCTGGGTCCAGATCCTTCGATAGGACAACACGCCCTGGACTCACTGCTGGAAACAACCCTGTGCCAGCCCCTGAGTGCCAGGGCACAGGGTGGAGCACAGGGCCAGACCCCCAGAGAAACCTTGGACACGGCCTCTCTCACTGGTAGCTTTGAAGGAGAAGTTCTAGCAGCTGTGGGGGACACAGGTGACAGCCCAGGCTGCACCGTCCAAGGGCCTCAGGCACACTTGCAGCTTCCTGGCCTGAACATCTGCCATGGGCTCCTCCTGTGAATAATTAGGCAGCAGGCCTCCCTCTCAGCTCCTGGAGACACTCCCACCCCAGTCGGCTGTCTGCCCCCACCCCCAACCTCACCCCCCATCCATTAAAGGCTCTCAGTCACTTACGGCAGGTGCATATCGGTTAGCAGAATCTTCACCATCGTCTTGAGTTTCATCGCAAAGTCGGCCTGGCTGGAAATTCCTGGGGCTGCCATGCTGAATGTGACCAGCAACACAGCTCCCAGCACGGTCAGGTGCTCCAGCTGGAGCTGCAGCTCTTGGAAGCGGGCCTGGTCCATCAGCACTGTCTGCAACACACAGGGCCTTGGCTCAGCGGGGGCTTGGGCTGGCCAGCAGGGGGCGCTGGGCCACAGTGCCAAGCCGGCCCCTGCCGCTTCCCTGGGGATTTTCAGTTACTGGGAGTCACAGGTGAACCACTTGGGTGCCCCTTCTTCCTCAGGAAGGATGCAGGATTCATGTTCATGAAGAGCACGGGGCAGCCCTGGGGAGAGACCCCAGCTCCGAAAGCTCTAACGGCAGCCGATCCTGCTGGGCTCCTCCTACTTTGCAGGACTGCTGTGAAAGTGCACAGCGGCCTGCAGGGCCAGCGTTCGATCATTGAGATCTGTGTCACCAGGGGCAAGAGGAACAAGGAGCAGCGCCAGGGCGCCAACTCGTCCGACACTGTCCAGGACTGCTCCAAGTGCTGTGGCAAAGCTCCCCGGGCCCCCAGCAAAGCAGGACAGCAGGTGCACTGTGCTGGTGGGGGCGGGGCGAGGGGGTGGGCAGTGCCAGCGAAAGGAGGCTCTCAGGAGCTGCTAAGGAGAAGGAAAGGGAATGGGAGAGGATGGACATTCGACAACCCAGAGCCGCCAGGAAAGCACAACAGCTCTGCAGGGTTAGAGGCAGCCCCTGGGCACAGTGAGGGTGAACGTGGCGCAAGAGCTTTCACTGGTTCATCAAATAACCCAGGGTCAGTCTTGCAGTGAAAGGCTGCGGCGCACCAAATTAGGACAGTGGCAACTGGGACCACAGCCCAGAATTCTTCTGAGAAGTGACAGTTACCTCTGAAGACTGTGGGTGCTCTGCTGGTGAACAGACAGGCCTCAAGGGACTCCCCACCTGAGCTCTTGTACTTCCCTCTGCTCTCCCAAGAATATCCTGTAACTGAGCAAAAGCTCTCCAAGGCTCAGCTCCAAGAGCAGAGCTCCGGCCCTGGGGAAAGGTACCACTTAGCTACAGTTCCTTCAGGGACGCGTCAGGCTGGCTTGTCCCACCAGCAGAAAGCCCGCCACCTGACATACAGAAAGGCAGGCACACACTCCCCAGCAGGCCACACCCCTACAGAGGCTGCTCCTGCACAAAGCAGGGGACTCGGAGGCGGGAGATGAAACCTAAACTTACAGCATCTTGAAAGGAAAAATCAGGAACTTTTGAGAGAGATATTTAGAGAAGTAGCAGGATCTGTGGCTAGAGATAAGGAGCTTAAGTGCCCGAGAAAATGGGGTGGGGATGTCCATACACCCCAACAGCCATTTACAGACAAAGTGGGAGCCCTCTTGGTAGGCATGCTCTGAAACAGGTCTGCAGGACAGGTAGTCACCGGGAAAACATCAGAAGACAAAAGTGTGCTCAGCCGGAAGGCGAGGAAGCTCCTCTAACAGCGCTATAAAGCAACACCACTACTGTGGCTTTAAGACAGGATACAAATCAGTGGCACAAACTGCAAGCATCAGGCATTGCTGGTGGGACTGTGAAATGACGCAATTGCTTCGGGAAAACTTGGCAGCTCCTCAGCACGTTAAAGACGCCACGTAGCCCAGCAATTCTAATCCTCTGTGCACATAAAAACTCGTACATGAATGTTCATTCAGAAGCATAACTCAAAACAGCTGAAGGTGGAAGCAACCCGTGTGTTCATCAGTTGATGAATGAAGAAATAAGATGTGGCCTGTTCACCCAGTGGAATACAATATTCAGCCTTAAAAATGAAGAAAATACTTATGCATAATACACCAAGGCTGAACCTCAAAGACATGATGCTAAATGAAAGAAGCCAAACACAAAAGAACGGGGTATGATTCACTTCGATGAGGGTACTACAGTAGTCAGGGTTCCAGGGGCCAGGGTATTGGTGGGACTCTGAAATTATGGTATGACAGGTAGAGTTTCACAGTTTGGGATGATAGGAAATGGAGAGGGTGATGACTGAACAACAATATGAATGTACTTACCACCACTGAATTGTACACTTAAAATGATCAAAAGGGTATATTTTATGTTCTGTGTATTTTACCACCATAAAAATACAATAGGGGTCAGCACTGTGGCCCAGCAGGTAAAGCACCTGCAGTGCCAGCATCCCATATGGGTGCTGGTTCGAGTCCCAGCTGCTCCACTTCCAATCCAGCTCTCTGCTATGGCCTGGGAAAGCAGCAGAAGATGGCCCAGGTGCTGGGGCCCAGGCACCCACATGGAAGACCCAGAGGAAGCTCCTAGCTCTTGGCTTTGGATCAGTTCAGCTCCAGCTATTGTAGCCATTTGGTGAGTAAATCAGCAGGTTTTTAATCCTCTCTCTCTCTCTCTGCCTCTCTGTAGCTCTGCCTTTTAAATAAATAAAATCTTTTTAAAAATACAATAAAAAAGAAATAAAGTAGAGGTACCTAAGAGAACATGGATGAATATTATCCCCAGTGAAAAAAGCTGGACATCAAAGGCCAATATGTTGGGATTCTATTTACATAAAATATCCAAAATAGGCAAATCCACAGAGATGGGAAAACAGCTGAGTGGTTACCAGGGGCTGGAGGGAGGAGGGAAGGGACTGGAAATGCTAATGGGTACAGAAGTCCGTTTTGGGGTGGTGAAAATGCTCTAAATTAAATGGTGATAATGTTTGCGTATTTGGCAGATACACTAAAAACTACTAAGTTGTCCACTTAAAAAGAGAATTGTCTGTGACGTGAATTTTACCGGAAAACAAGGTATTCTTTTAAAGAAGATCAGCGGCACAGCAAGAAGCGTGAGTGAGCGCACAGGAGCACCTACTTCAGGGAAAGGTCTCCGGAGGTGGTCCCATTTCAGAAGCTTCAGGTATGCGTAGTTCTGGACAGCGACAGGACTCAGCACGGGGGTGTCCCTAGAGCCGGCCGCCTCTTCCCCGGCTGGCAGCGCAGACTTACGCTTCTGAGTCATAAGCTCATCTGAGGCTTCTTCTAGCCACTGTGTGACAAAGTCCAGGGAATCTGAGAAAAACAAAGCTGTGACTCTTACCGTGACCCCTAGGCAGTGTGACACAGGATGGAGTATGAACTTCGGACGGAGAAGTACTCCGTTCAAACCACGGCGCTGCAATCCCCAGCTGTGTAACCTCAGGCAAGTCCTAACCTGATTACTGAATTCCTGATCTGAAGACATTTACAACACCTGCCTCACAGGCCCCTGTGCAGATTAAACGCGATCACGAACACTGGGACGCGGCACCTGGCCAGGCCTGGCCACCTGCCAGTTGTAAACAAACTGTCATTCCCTTCCCTTCGCCCATCCTGACCACTACAGGAGACACGGCTGAGGGCTCTGGTGACGGCTGGACTCAGGCGGGATGAGATACCAGCTCAAAGGTCCCTGAGGCAAGTCTCCACTATGCTGATCGTGAGGCCTTCTCTTGTCTAATCTTCATCTACCGGTCTTGTGCACTTCTGGCCTCACGGTACCTGGCGTGTAACTCAGCATGTGGAGCTGGCTCCCATCAGCCCTCACACTCTCTCTACTTTTCTAAACTGATTAGTGCAGCGGGCACTCTGAGGGGTGTAGAGAAAGAATAAGGAGATCTTGTGCAAGTTAGCTTAGCAAAGAGTGATCTGCTGGGTCCCGGCAGGTGCTGCAGCTCTGCCAATGCTCTCCTCTTTAAAACCCAGTGGGCAGACGATTGTGCTGTGGGGCAGCGGATTAATCTGCTATCTGCAGCTCCAGCGTCCCATGTGGGTGCCGGTCAGAGTCCCAGCTCCTCCACTTCCAATCTGCCTCTCTGTTGATCTACCTGAGAAAGCAGCAGAAGATGGCCCATGTCTTTGAGCCCCTGCATCCATGTGGGAGACATGGATGAAGCTCCTGGTCCCCGGCCCCTGCCTGGTCCAGTCCTGACTGTTGCAGCCATTTGGGGGAATGAACCAGAAGTTGGAAGATATCTGTCTCTCTCTCTCTGCCTCTCCTTCTCTGTGTAATTCTGACTTTCAAATAAATAAATAAATCTTTAAAAAAAAAAAAAAGCCTCCTCGGCCTATAAAATTGTGCCCCCAGGACCCTCAATCTCTATGACACTGGTCACTGGTTCAGAGTGTGCTCAATCAATCCGGGTCAAAGGTCTCTCAAAACCTGTTTCCCATATCTGTCAGACTTAAAAAACAGCGCTAAACTCATGGGCTTGCTGCATCAGGATTATGAATGACAAGGCACGCACAGCCCTTGGTGCAAGCCTGGAACCGTCAGCCAGTCTCCCAGTGCTGCTGCTGCTTCTGATCTGCTCTTTCCAGACTCCACCTGGGCCCAGCACCACCTCAGACTTCTCTGTCTGGGGCTGGGTGACTCAACTGCTCTTGGCACTGAAGCCTCAAATCTGGTCAGGTAACAGGATCTATCCAGAGGCTGCTATCTGTGTCTTGTTACCAGCAAAGTCAGAGGCTAAATGAATTCACAATAAACTCCATCTGAAGCCTAAAATTTACCCAGAACATCAGCTGCCAATGCAGAGACCAAAAATAGCACCCTATAAATACAACATAGTTTCAGATTCTATAGGTTCATGAAATGAGACTTTTCCTGGGTGTGAAAGATCTATGCATACAGAATTGACATGAAGTTTGTCATTTTTAAAAAGACCAAGAGGGGCCAGCATTATGGTACAGCAGATTAAACTGCCACTTGCATTGCTGGCATCCCATATCAGAGTGCTGGTTCAAGTTCTGGCTGTTCTGCTTCCAATCCAGCTTCCTGTTAATGTGCCTGGAAAAGTAGCAGAAAATGGCTCAAGTACTTGAGCCCTTGCCATCCATGTGAGACACCAGGATGGAGTTCCTGTTTCCTGGCTTTAGCCTGGCCCAGACCTTTCTCTCGGACACTCTGCCTCTGAAATAAATAAGTATATAAATCTTTTTTTAAGCATTTATGTATTTGAAAGGCAAAGTTACAGAGAAACAAAGGACAGAGAGAGAGAGAGAGATCTTCCATCCGCTGGTTCACTCCTTAAATGGCCAGAATGGCTAGGGTTGGGTCAGGCCGAAGCCAGGAGCTTCTTCTTGATCTCCCAAATGGGTGCAGGGGCCCAAGCACTTGGACCATCTTATGCTGCTTTCCCAGGCACATTAGCAAGGAGCTGGACTGGAAGTGGAAGAGCCAGGTCTCAAACCGATGCTCATATGGGATGCTGGCATTATAGGCAGCAGTTTTACCTGCTGCACGATAGTGCCAACCCCCGTAAATAAATCTTTAAAAAAATAAATAACAAGGATACAATTTACCTTAAACTGGCATTTTCATTAACTATTTAAATTAGCACTCCCATGTTCTTTCATTTCTGTTCTCATATCCCCCATTGTTCTTCCTGTCAGTTAAATTTTCTTTTCAAATGCTTCACAGCTCTAACTGTAGTCCTAACATGCTATACTTTTCCTTCCTCAACTTAGACTATTCTCACACCGAATTTTAGTTTTCTTTCGAAAACACTACCATTAAGAAAACACTAGCCGGCGCCGCGGCTCAATAGGCTAATCCTCCACCTAGCAGCGCCGGCACACTGGGTTCTAGTCCCGGTCGGGGTGCTGGATTCTTTCCTGGCTGCCCCTCTTCCAGGCCAGCTCTCTGCTGTGGCACGGGAGTGCAGCGGAGGATGGCCCAAGTGCTTGGGCCCTGCACCCCAGGGGAGACCAGAAGAAGCACTTGGCTCCTGCCTTCGGATCAGCATAGTGTGGCGGCCATTGGAGGGTGAACCAATGGCAAAAGGAAGACCTTTCTCTCTGTCTCTCTCACTATCCACTCTGCCTGTCAAAACAAAACAAAAAACAAACAAAAAACACTACTGTTAAGGGCCCGGCACTGTGGCATAGAAGGTTAAGCCTCTGCCTGCAGTGCCAACATGTCATATGGGCCCTGTTCGTGTTCCAGCTGCTCCACTTCTGATCCAGCTCCCTGCTAATGTGCCTGGGAAAGCAGCAGAGGATGGTGCAAGTGCTTGGGCCCCTGCTACCCATGTGGGAGACCCAGAAGAAGCTCTTGGCTTCAGCCTGGCCCAGCCCTGGCTGTTGCAGCCATCTGGGGGGTGAACCAGATAGAAGCTCATTGTCTTTCTCTTTCTCCCTTTCTCTCTCTCTGTATCTGCCTTTCAAATAAAATAAAATTAAAAAAAAAAAAAAAAAAAAAGCAGCTACAGCAACTTAAATGAAAAAAAAAAAACAAAAAACACAGACAACCAAGGAGCTCCACAAAGCTCTGAACATACTTGGCTGCTTCTCCAAAAGCTCTTGAAACTTCTTCCTTTCATACTCAACTGATTGCTGCATGAGGTGCGGTCGAATGCTGCTGACAGCAAAGTTCGCCATGTCCACTTTCATCAGGTCCAGCACAGAAAATATTGCCCTGAAAGGGAGGAGAGGATTTAGAACCAGGTATTTTCAGCAATGTGGTTTTAGAGGAGATGGGTGACGGGAATTAGAAACAGGTATTTTTGGAATTATGGTTTCAGAGGAGAAAGGTAAGCTGATTTGAAACCATCTTTTCGTTTCAGAAAAGACAGCAAGAAAACTTTGAAAAAAGAAAGTACTAAGAAAAACAAATTTAGGAAAAAGACATTTAAACAACAATGTGAAAAGCCTGAGAACTCTGAAGCTGTCCTCTATCCCCGTATCCTTGTTGCTTGCCCTGAAGCAAATGCAGCTTCCTCTGCTGCCTTTCTAGCCCAGAACCTCACTTGTCTCTCGCTCGGCGCCAGCCCTCATGGCAGCCACAGAGGAAGGACCTGAAGGTGAGGCTGGGAGCAAGTTCACCTGACCTGATGTCAAGGACCCAACTTTGATCCTGCTGTCGTCACATACCAAAACCTTGCCACGTGTCAAGATCTGCTAAGCACCTATCTGCAGGCTTTAAGAACCTAATGTGCAAGTGTAGTCAAGGTCTTATGCAGAAGCAGGAACAGGATCAAATGGACTCCAAAGTCCCCTGATGCCCTTTGGGACCGACTGTACACTACGTGACAGAATAAGTGGAAGGGCCCAAAGTATGGGAAAGGATACACAGACTGAGGGTTATTCAAACCCTTCTCCATCCATACCCTGTGGCCCTCCCTCTGCTACTCCCAAATCTTCTCCCGAATTGCTGTGGTCTTCCCAGTGTCTTCCTTCTTTATGGTGGAACTGGAGTTCATTCTATTTCTCTCGGAGGATTCTCCTTTAAGGACTTCCTCATTTAACTTTGTTAGACTCTAAGCTTTTTTTAAAGATTTTTTTCATCTATTTGAAAGGCAGAATTACAGAGAGATTTTCCATCCGCTAGTTCACTCCCCAGTTGGTCAACAGCTGTGTCTAGGCCAGGCTGAAGCCAGGAGCTTCTTCTGAGTCTTCCATGTGGGTGTGGGGATGCAAGGACTTGGGCCATCTTTCACTGCTTTCCCAGGCACATTAGCAGGGAGCTGGATGGGAAGTGGACAGCCGAGACTCAAATCAGAGCCCAGATGGGATGCTGCCTCATTGCAGGCAGCAGCATTACCTGCTACACCACAACACCAGTCCCTACTCTAAGCTCTTCCTCATTTTATTTTTAGGCTCCAGCACCACACCTAACACAGAAGACTGTTCAATAAAAGCCTGCCCAATGAACAAAGCAAAAACCATTTTTAAGAGGTGTTTTTAAACTCTGAGGTAACTTTACAATGCAGGGCATTCTTGTGTGTACTGAGGAAGGGAGAGAGGATATGCCATCTGTCCTCTTTCACCAAGAAAGCTGGAAACAGGGCCAACGTTGTAGTGTGGCAGTTTAAGCTGCTGCCTACCGTACTGGCATTCCATATGAGCCCTGGTTTGAGTCTTGGCTGCTCCATTTCTGATCCAGCTCCCTATTAACATGCCTGGGAAAGCAGAAGAGTATGTGGACCCCTGCCACCCACAGGGGAGACCTAAATGGAGTTCCAGGTTTCTGGCTTTGGCCTGGCCTGGCCCAGCCCCAGTCATTGCAGCCATTTGGGAAGTGAATCAGCAGATGGAAGATCTCTCTGTGTAACTGTCTTTCAAATAATTAAAAAAAAAAAAAAAGCTGGAAATCAAATTTTGTTTGCTTATAAAACTTTTTAAAAAATTATTTTGAAGACAGAGATGGACAGATATTGAAGGAGGGAAAGGAGGTGAGGGAGAGAAAAGAGCATGCTGCAGCCTGTTAGGAACAAAGCTGGGAGCCAGGAACTGAATCCAGGTCTCCCATATGGGTGGCAGGAACCCAGTTACTTGAGCTATTACCTGCTGTCACCTGCTGCCTCCCAGAGTATACATTAGCAAGAAGCTGGGAAAGGGAGCTCAAGGTAGGAATTGAACCCAGGCACTCTGATAGGAGATGTGGATAAGATGGGAGATCTTGACTGTTAAGCCAAATATCCATGCCCACTTATAAAAAATCGCCTTGGTAACATGCAATAACATTCTTCAAACTGTTCATATCCTCTGACACAGTAGCCCCATTTTAAGTACCCATATTTAGGAAACAACCTGAAATATAAGAAAAAGTTTTGTGTACAAAGATATTTACTGGAGGGTTAAGTAGTAAAATGTAAATTATATATAATCTATCCATCTTTCTTAAGAATTAGCTAATTCCTTTATGTAAATGAATATGTGGCAACCATGAAAAAAGCTTTCTTAAAGTTTAGAAAACAGTTTAAAAAAACCTCTTTAAACTTCAAGAAAATGCTTTCTTGAGGTTTAAAAAACAATATAAAAGGGTAATGCAGGAGCCAGCATTGTGGTGCCATGGATTAAGCCCATCATCTGCAATGCCAGCATCCCATATGGGTACCAGTTGGAGTACCTGCTACTCCTCTTCCAATCCAGCTCCCTGTTAATGCGTTTGGAAAAGTAGCACACATGGGAGACCTGGACAGAGTTCCAGGCTGCTGGCTTCAGCCTAGCTCAAGTCTGGCTGCTGTGGCCATTTTGGGGGGAGGGAACCAGTGGATTGAAGATCTCTCTCTGCCTCCTTCTCTCTATAACTGCCTTTCAAATAATCTTTTTGGGGGGTTGCCACTGTGGCGTAGTGAGTTAAGCTGCCATCTGCAGTGCCAGTATCCCATATGGGCCCTTGTTCGAATCTCAGCTATTCCGCTTCTGATCCAGCTTCCTACCAATGCGCCCAGATCCTTGGGGCCCTTGCATCCATGTGGGAGATCTGCATGAAGCTCTTGGCTCCTGGCTTCAGTAGGTCCCAACCCTGGCTATTACGGCCACTTGGGGTATGAATCAGCAGATGGAAGACTTGTCTCTGCCCCTCTTCCTCTCTGTAACTCTACCTTTCAAATAAATAAATCTTTAAAGAAAAAGGAAAATTTAATTTAAAAAATAAATAGGGGCTAGTGCTGTGGTTGTAGCTGGTTAAGCCTCATGGCATGGACATCCCATATGGGCACTAGTTCGTATCCCTGCGGCTCCTCTTCCAATCTAGCTCTCTGCTAATGGCCTGGAAAGGCAGTGGAAGATGGCCCAAGAGCTTGGGCCCCTGCGCCCACGTGGGAGACTTAGAAGAAATGCCTGGCTTCGGATCGGCTCAGCTCCGGCAGTGGCTGCCATTTGGGGAGTGAACCAGCAGATGGAAGACCTTTCTCTGTGTCTCTCCCTCACTCTGTAACTCTGCCTCTCAAATAATCTTTTAAAAAATATTTTTTTTAAAAAAAGGGCAATGCAAAACATCCCTATTGTGTTGAAATACAAGTTTAAACAAGTAAAATTGTATAAAAGCTAAATACACAAATAAACAAATGAGTACAAGTGAAAAGGGAAATCTAAATAAGATGAATGGTTTGCAGCAATGTCAGTATGTTGGCTGTGATATTACAGTAGTCCCCCCAAGTTCATGGGGAGCTGTCCAAGACCCTCAGAGGACGCCTGAACCTGAGGATAGCACCAAACCCTACCTACTCATATTAACATATAGTCCATATTAACTTTTTAGTCTTCTACATATTTAATTTTAAATATATATAACTGTGATCAAGTGTCCATAATTTTTATACTAATATGGGTAAGGAGTGATATAATTATGCCTGAAGATTTGACTTCTGGTTAACTGCTTTGCTTTGCTTTCCTATAAACAGATAAAAGTGTATATATCAAAATGGTGCTGAGCAATTCCTTTATGGGAAAAGAAACACCTAACTCACAAATTGCATTTGGAATGAAAGAAATAACAAACCACAAATACCGGCTGGGACACTACACTTTGGACTTCCCCGTGTGGGATAACTTATATAAATGTTTATGTCCCTTACGGGAACCCTGGAAGCCAGGTTATAGCGCTGTAATACAACACCTCGGCTCCTGAAGCCAGGTGAGTCTGCACCCTTCTGTCAGGCTCCTCTCATCCCCGAGCTGTCTGGTGAATGTTTCAGGCTGCCCAGGGGCAAGCCGTGGAAGAGACAGAGCCAAACCTGTGGCCCAGGGCAGTCCTGCGAGTCTGAATGTTGGGCTGAACCTAAGACCAACGGGACCAGCAGGCCTGACTTCTGTTAACACTATCCCTACTCATTTCACCTACTTACTGAAAGCATTATTGAAATAAGTGTACAAATGTATTTACATGGAGTTGTAAGATAATACAGTGCAGATTAACCAGCAGCCCTAATGGTAACATTTTGTGAAGCTGTAATAGTCATGCCCCATCTGCTTTGGTTTGAAAATTTGTCCCCCTTGCACTCAAGGGTTTAGTCCTCAAAGTCTGATGCTAATGGTACAAGAATCCAATTAATGGGGCCGGCGCCGCGGCTCACTAGGCTAATCCTCCGCCTTGCGGCGCCGGCACACCAGGTTCTAGTCCCGGTTGGGGCGCCGGATTCTGTCCCGGTTGCCCCTCTTCCAGGCCAGCTCTCTGCTGTGGCCAGGGAGTGCAGTGGAGGATGGCCCAGGTGCTTGGGCCCTGCACCCCATGGGAGACCAGGAAAAGCACCTGGCTCCTGGCTCCTGCCATCAGATCAGCGCGGTGCGCCGGCGCAGCGCGCAGGCCGCGGCAGCCATTGGAGGGTGAACTAACGGCAAAGGAAGACCTTTCTCTCTGTCTCTCTCTCTCACTGTCCACTCTGCCTGTCAAAAAAAAAAAAAAGAATCCAATTAATGTGTTTTCAGGTGAGGACTTTGGAAAGTGATTAAACTGGACAAGGTGGCTAGGGTGGGGCCCACATGACTAAATCCTGGTGGCTAAGAAACCACACACAGACAGACACGCATGCTTCCTGGATCCTGCCACATGATGTCCTGTGCCATCTCAGAACTCTGCCAGCAACAAGGCCACTGCCAGATGAGGCCCCTAGACCTCGAGCCAAAATAAACCTTTTTCTTCATAAAGTTAGGATGCCTCAGGTATTTTTATAGTAATAAAAAGTTGACTCAAACAGTTTTCCCTATCGGTAAGGTGGCGTTCCTTTTATTTTTTTTTTTTTTTTTTTTTTTTGACAGGCAGAGTGGACAGTGAGAGAGAGAGACAGAGAGAGAAAGGTCTTCCTTTGCCGTTAGTTCACCCTCCAATGGCCACCGCTGCAGCCGGCGCACCGCGCTGATCCGATGGCAGGAGCCAGGAGCCAGGTGCTTTTCCTGGTCTCCCATGGGGTGCAGGGCCCAAGCACCTGGGCCATCCTCCACTGCACTCCCTGGCCATAGCAGAGAGCTGGCCTGGAAGAGGGGCAACCGGGACAGAATCCGGCGCCCCGACCGGGTCTAGAACCCGGTGTGCCGGCGCTGCAAGTTGGAGGATTAGCCTATTGAGCCGCGGCGCCGGCCTAGTTTTGCTTTCTAAGGTCTCAGTTACCCACAGTGAACTACAGTCCAAAAATGGAAAATTTCAGAGAGAGAAAGAGAGGGAGGGAGAGATCACATTCATATAACATTTATTACAGTCGACTGTTACAACTGTTCTTATTGTTATTAATCTTACTGAAATTGAATTTTAAGTATATATATAGAAAAAACAGTATACAAGTACATAAAAAAGATAAAGCAAATGTGACAAAATATTAAACTGATAGATTCACATCAAGGATATGAACATTGACTGTACTGCTTTTCAACTTGTCTGTAAGCCTATAATTTTTTCCAAATCTTATATGTTAATAACTATTAATATTAATATGGTATATATTATCTAATACACACACATAAATGGGCTCAATTATTTGGGTCCCTACCATCCATGTGGGAGAATCGAACTGAGTTCTAGGCTCCTGGCTTTGACCTGGCCCAATCTCAACTGTTGTGGGCATTTAGAGAGAAAACCAGCAGATGGAAGAACTCTTGCTCTTGCTCTGTGTGCATGCGTGTGAGTGTGCGTCTATGTGCCATTTATTTATTTTTGAGGATTTGTTTATTTGAAAGGCAGAGTTACAGAGAGGCAGATGCAGAGAGAAAGGTTTTCCATACACTGGTTCACTCCCCAAATCGCCACAACAGCTGGAGATGCACCGATCAGAAGCCAGGAGCCTGGAGCTTCTTCTGGGCCTCCTATATGGGAGCAGGGGCCCAAGGACTTGGGCCATCCTCTGCTGCCCTCCCAGGCCATAGCAGAAAGCTGGATTGGAGGTGGAGCAGCTGGGGCTCAAACCAGAGCCCACATGGGATGCTGGTACTATGGGTGGCGGCTTTGCCCACTACCCCACAGCACTGGCCCCTGTCTGTGTCTTTTAAATAAATAATTTTTAAGAATATATTATAATGACAGTTGTGATTATGCAGTAAAATTATGGGTGACTTTTGTTCCTAATTTTCTATATTTTAAATATTTAAATTTTTTTTCAAATGCATAAATCATTAGATTTCAGGAAGTTTAAATCTGAAAATAGGCACTTCATTTTGAATGCAGAGGGCTATTAACTGTTTTCCTACCTGAAAAGGGGCACTATTTCCTTAATGTCCTTTAGTTTCTTAACTTCCTCATCTCGAGCAGGTGCACACAGCGTCCCCATCATGCCAATAATGAATCCTGCCAGCTTGGAAATGTCTAGGGCCCCATTCTCTGCTTCCTGCTTTATCAGATCCAGATCCAAGACTTCTGTTATCTGGTTTCTCAGTCTAGTGTGACCAGGCAGCAAGAAAGATAAGAGAGTCTACAAGAGAGCACAGCTAAGTTTAATCAAGGTTTTTTAGACATGTTTTATTACACATAAAAGAATTCATAACTATCAAAAAAGGACTTACCAACTATTACTGTAAAGCTGCACATATTTGAAGCTCTTGTTAATAAATCTACAGAAAAACATGCTTATTACAACTTATTTAGAATAGCTACTTAAGTTTCCATTTAAGATCTAGGTAGAAATCACCTGATGAAAGGAAAAACTGTTCATGGTGAAAACAGAAACACACGGATTAATGCAAGCCTGAGAGCCAACCACACATTCCAGTTTCCACAGATAGAGTTCTTTGATCTGCAAAAGGCATTACAAAACCAGTCCTTCCACCTCAGGTCTTCTCTATTCCAAAGACACTGCTTTGCCATTATAAATAGAATGCATCCTAAGAATTTATAGGGACCAGCTGTGATGTAGTAAGTTAATCCTCCACCTGCAGTGCCAACATCCCATATGGGCACCAGTTCGAGTCCTGGCTGCTCCTTTTCCGATCCAGTTCTCTGCTATGCCCTGGGAAAGCAGCAGAAGATGGCCCAAGTCCTTGGGCCCCTGCACCACGTGGGAGGCCTGGAAGAAGCTCCTGGCTTCAGACTGGCAGCTCCAGTCATTGGTGGCCATTTAGGGAGTGAATCAGCGGATAGAAGACCTTTGTCTCTCCATCTCACGGTAACTCTACCGCTCAGATAAGTAAATAAAATAAAAAAAAAAAAAAAAAAGGAATTTATGGGTGGGGCAGCACTGTGGCATAGCAGGATAAGTCACCACCTGCAGCACTGGCTTTTTTTTTTTTTTTTTTTTTTTTGACAGGCAGAGTGGACAGTGAGAGAGAGAGACAGAGAGAAAGGTCTTCCTTTGCCGTTGGTTCACCCTCCAATGGCCGCCGCAGCCAGCGCGCTGTGAATGATCCGATGGCAGGAGCCAGGTACTTATCCTGGTCTCCCATGCGGGTGCAGGGCCCAAGCACTTGGGCCATCCTCCACTGCACTCCCTGGCCACAGCAGAGAGCTGGCCCGGAAGAGGGGCAACCGGGACAGAATCCGGCACCCCAACCGGGACTAGAACCCGGTGTGCCGGCACCGCAAGGCGGAGGATTAGCCTAGTGAGCCGCAGCACTGGCCACACTGGCATCTTACATGGGCACCAGTTGGAATTCCAGCTGCTCCACTTTTGATCCAGCTCCCTGCTAATGTGCCTGGAAAAGCCATGGAAAATGGCCCAGGTGCTTGGGCCCCTGTACCCACAAAGGAGACCTGGAAGAAGCTCCTGGCTTCTGGCTCAGCCTGGCACAGGCTTGACCACTGAGGCCATTTGGGGAATGAACCAACAGTGGAAGATAACACTCACATCTCTCCCTCTTCCTCTCTCCCTCTCTCTCTGCCTTTCCCTCTCTGTAACTCTAACTTTCAAGTAAATAAAAATCTAAAAAAAAAAAAAAAGTATATGGGCCAGCATTGTGGCACGGTGGGTTAAGCTGCTACCAGGGATGTCTGCATTCCATGTGGGTCTGCTCTGGATACAGTTCTGCCTCCATTTCTGATCCAGCTTCCTGCTAACATGCCTAGGAGGCAGCAAATGATGACCCAAATACCTGGGTCCCTGTCACCCACATGGGAGACTCTGATGAAGTTCCTGGCTTCTGATTTTGGTCTAGTTCAGCCCCAGCTGTAATAGGCATTTGGAAAATGAACCAGCGGATGGAAGAACTTGCTGTCACTCTGCCTTTCAAATAAATAAATCTTTTTAAAATTTTTATAAATAATCAAATATTTTATAAAGTAACTTTTGTTGGCTTTAAGTAATTCTGTTTAAAAAATTATGAACATCTGAGAAACTGGGGAAGCCAGGAATGGGGGCAACCACGTCTAAGGAACCTTTCAGACACAGCCTGGTCTTTCTCCGGGAACTAGTACCAGTACTGCTCAGCGGCTCAAAGTCCAGCACTTTGCCTGGAGTCCAGGAGTGGTCTTAGGGAAACTAAATTGTGTTTCTGCTCAACTCCGGGATGAAGTTAGAGGTCTGAGAAAACAACTGCATATAAATGTAATCTAAGTCTTGAAGGGTCTCAAAAAGGAAATTTCTTGGACAATTCAACTGCTCAAGTGAGCATATAATCAACTTAATCTTCCTAATAAAGTAGCTTTCATTTTGGAAAAAAAAATTATTATTAGTCTTTGTTTACAAGAATAATACCCTCAGGTTATCACGACTTGCTCAACATTTTTAAAAAACAGGGCATTAGGCCCAAGACACTCTTAATCCACATTTTAGCAAGGAATTTAACTTCTTGATCCTTCAGTTTCTTTCAAGTCTCCGGCACAGTCACACCACGCAGTGGAATTAACGTTCCTGACATCAGAAAAGACCAGTTGCTCTGTGCCTCACCTCCTTGATCTCTCCTACAAGTTTGATGGCGTGGTCGTATGTCGGAGGGTCCTCGCTTAGCTGGACACTCAAGCAATCCCAAAAAGCTTTATGTACAATCTCCTTCACTTTCTTCTCCAAGCTGCAGGCAATGAAAAACAGGCCAAAAATTTAAATAAAATATTGCAGCCTCAAATCACTTTTAAAAGCACAAATCAGGGTAAGAAATCTTAAAAATAATTTTGGTTCAACAAAATATTTTCCAAGCCTATTTAAAACCAAAGACATACTTTGACATACTTAAATAAAATATTGCAGCCTCAAATCACTTTTAAAAGCACAAATCAGGGTAAGAAATCTTAAAAATAATTTTGGTTCAACAAAATATTTTCCAAGCCTATTTAAAACCAAAGACATACTTTGACATACTTTAGTGTTTTTTCTTTTTCCCAATTGATACCTCTTGGAAAGTACAACTTCCAATTAATTGGACAGCCAATATCAGTCCAGCTAACAGCTTGTCATGGTGAAATATGATAAAAATAATATTGAAAAATAGCAGAGCTGTTAATTTTTAGTTCCCTGACATCAGTAAATTTCTTAGGATATTTATAATTAAGAGGTGTAAGATGACAACTGGGCCAGAGTTGTGGCACAGCAGGTTAAGATGCACCCTGTAATGCTGGATTCAGAGCACTGGTTCAATTCCTGGTTGCTCCACTTTTGATCCAGCTCCCTGCTAATGTGCCTGGGAAAAAGCACTGGAAGATGGCCCAAGTACTTGCACCCCTGCATCCACATGGGAGACCAGATGGAGTTCCTAACTCTTGGCTTCAGCCTGGCCCAGTCCTGACTGTTGCAGCTATTTGGGGAATGAACCAAAGGTTGGAAGATATCTTTTTCTGTCTCTGCCTCTGTCACTCTGCCTTTTAAATAAATAAATCTTAAAAACAAAAAAAGATGAAAACTATTTGCTATGTAACAAGTGGAAAGACGTTAGTTCCTAAAAATATCCTATTTCCCATGAGATACATGGGACATTTATTTAAATAGGTATCAAGATATAACAATTAAATATAGGTGTAACATCTCATTAAACCAGTCTTGTGTCTTGAGAGTGAAACAAATGTTTCTTCATTACTGTCAAAAAGTAACAAAGGGCACTGTTGCATAGTGGGTAAAGCTACTGCCTGAAGTGCTGGCATTCCATATGGGCGCTGGTTTGAGTCCTAACTGTTCCACTTTTGATCCAGATCCCTGCTGTGACCTGGGAAAGCAGTACAAGATGGTCCAAGTGCTTGGGATCCTGCACCTGCATGGGAGACTTGGAAGAAACTCCAGGCTCCTGGCTTCAGATTGGCCCAGCTCTGCCCTTTACAACCATTTAAGAGTGAACCAATGGATGGAAAACCTTTCTCTGCCTCTGCCTCTCTGTACTCTGCCTTTAAATTAAATAAGTCTTTTTTTTTTTTAAGTAATATAACAAATACTTGTAAAGTTCAATTTAGAAGCCTCCCATGGGAGAAGGGATAGCCTGCCATCCCAGCAGGCATATGTATATTTTGGTAAGAGAAACCAGTGTTTTTCAGGGCAACAAGATACTCTGCCTGTGAAACTAAGTCATTAGATCAGGATCTAATCAGCCCAGCATGGCAGTTCCAATCCCCATTGCCAGAGTGAAGCTTTCCCAGGCTCACTTAACAGCTGGGGCTGCACACCATCAAATGCTGCCTAACAGGACATTAAGGCATGTCTACTTCCTGACTCCACAGAAAACTGTTCTTTTCCTATCAACAGGAGAGCCCTGATCCACCCAGCCTCTTCCTCCTTGCCACAGGGTCTGACACATCCACTGGCATGAGGAGCAGGCCAAGAAAATAAGAGGCTTCCACTCCAGAGTTGTTATTTAAAAAAAAAAAAAAAAAAAGACTTATTTATTATTTAAAGGCCAGAGTTAAAGAGAAAGAGAGGGAGAGATGGAGAGACAGAGATCTTCCATCTACTGATTCCCTCCCCCAAATAGCTACAACTACCAAGGCTGGGCCAGGCTGAAACCAGGAGCCAAGAACCCCATCTGGGTCTCCCACGTGGGTACAGGGGCCCAAGCACTTGGCCATCTTCTGCTTCTCATGTGCATTAGCAGGGAGCTGGGTAAGAAGTAGCGCAGCTGGGATGTGAACTGGCACCTATATAGGACGCTGGCACTGCAGTGATGGCTTAACCTGCTGCACCACAGCACCTGCCCCTACTCCGGAGTTCTGATGTCAGTGAACTGCTGAAAGAAGGGCACCTCCCACCCACACTTCCTCAATCTAAAACCAACTATATTTTTTCACATTTTAACATCTCTGCAACTTACTTTCCTTTGTTTTGCTTTGTTTTTAAAGATCTACTTATTGGGCCTGGTGCTGTGGCTCAGTAGGTTAATTCTCCGCCTATGGCACCAGCATCCCATATGGGCACTAGTTCTGGTCCCAGCTGCCCCTCTTCCAACCCAGCTCTCTGCTATGGCCTGGGAGAGCAGTAGAAGATGGCCCAGACGCTTGGCCCCTGTATCCTCGTGGGAGACTCAGAAGAGGCTCCTGGCCATTGCAGCCATTTGGGGAATAGACCAGCAGATGGAAGACCTTTTTCTCTGTCTCTCCCTCTGTGGTGCTCCCAAATAAATAAATACCTACTTATTTGAAAAGCAGAGTTAGATAGAGACATCTTCCACCCACTGGTTCACCCACCAAATGGCTACAAAGGCTGGGGCTGGGCCAGCCCAAAGACAGGAGCTTCATTCAGGTCTCCCACATGGGTGGCAGTGGGTCAGAAGTGGAGTAGCCAGGACTCAAACTGGCACTCATATGGGATACCAGCATCGCAGGTGGTGGCTTAACCCACTGTGCCACAAAACTGGCCCCTGGATCTTTCTTAATGTGCCACTGGGCAATGATTATAATGGGCAATGTTTCTTCTTGTAACAATAAGATTACAATGGGCAATTCTCACGACAATACTTTTAAAGGGTGTATCTTACAATCAGCAGTTTTAGATTCAATAAAAACAGAAAAATAGGTGTCAACACTGTGCACAGTGGGTTAACTGCCACCATTTGTGATGCCAGCTTCCCGTGATTGCCAGTTGGAGTCCTGGCTGTCCACCTCCAGTCCAGCTCCCTACTAATGTACCTGGGAAGGCAGCAGAGGATGGTCTAAGACCTTGGGCCCCTGCCACCTATGTGGGAGATCTGGATGGAATTGTAGGCTCCTGGTTTCAGCTTAGCCCAACCTCAGACATTGTGGTCACTTGGGAAGTGAACCAGTAAATGTAATCTCTCTCTCTTCCCATCTCCCTTCCTCTATCACTCTTTCAAATAAATAAAATAACTCTGGGAACTGGCACTATGGTGTAACCTGTTAAGCCTCCATCTACAGCACCAGCATCCCATATGGGTACCACTTGGAGTCCTGGCTACTCCACTTATGATCCAGCTCCCTGCCAATGCACCTGGGAAAGCAGTGGAAGATGGCCCAAATACTTGAACCTCTGTACCCACATGGGAGACCCAAATAAAGCTCCTAGCTCTTGGCTTCGGCCTGGCCTAGCCCTGGCTGTTACAGCCATTTGGGAAATAAACTAGCGAATGAAAAGTCTCTCTGCCTCTCCCTCTAACTCTGCCTTTCAAGTTAATAAATCTGAAAAAAAAAAAAAAAAATAACTATAGGAAAAATTAAAAAAAAAAAAAAAAACCTGATGGCTGTAGGCATGAGGGATACAAAGAATAAGCCATAGTCCTTGCCTTTGTGGGATTTACAATCTGGTGAAAGATGCAAGTAAACCAACAACATCTGACTTTGTAACTATCTGACAGTTACAAAAAAACTAATGAAACTATGCAATGAAAACACAAGAGGCAGTTAAATCCCATCAAGTAAGGAAAAGCTGACATGAAAGACTTTCACTGACTTCCAGACCGTGTGTATTCGCATTTTGATGGATCAGTGATTCACTTTCAAACCTAAGGAATTCCTAGGATAGGAACTTTTTTTTTTTTTTTTTTTAAGCAATAACGTACAAAAGGAAAAACTTACTGGAATATAGTGTTATTGACTGAAGGAAACATTTCCAGAAGTGGGAAATGCTAGTGATCTAATGAACAAGACAACTAAGCAGTCACCTTACCTGTCTTCTGGTAGTTCAGCTGGTTGAATCCGAAAGTCTCCATTTACTACAATTTCATGGGCTAGAGCCATGTTAGTGACTCCCTTCGCTGTCTCTACAAGTTCTTCTACTGTCACAAATCGAGCAGGGCTGGCTGCAACACAAACCCAGTGTAAGAGATTCCCTCCCATAGAGTAAAATTTCTCCAAAAATAGGGAGAAAGCATCAGTTTTTATTCCAGGAAATATTCTGCCTTCTGTTGAAATCTTCCGGCATTTTCAAACAGCTACAGAATCTTACCTATTTCATCTTCATTTTTTTTTTTAAGTTAGAAGCCTAAAAGCAGAGATCATTTATAATTTTTGAAACATCTGATTTTCACTAAGCTTTTCACTAAATGCAAAATGATTACAGTAAATTGAGGCTTCGATACACTCTAGTTACAGATTATCATTTCCCTTGGGGCCACGCTGTGGCGCAGGTTAATCCTCCACCTGTGTTGCTGGCATCCCATATGGGCAACAGTTCAAGTCCTGGCTGCTTCTCTTCCAATCCAGCTCTCTGCTATGGCCTGGGAAAGCAGCAGAAGATGGCCCAATTCCTTGGGCCCCTATAACCCGTGGGAGACCTAGAAGCTCCTGGCTCCTGGTTTTGGATCGGCTCAGCTCCAGCCATTGCGGCCATTTGGGGAGTGAACCAGCAGGTAGAAGACATTTCTGTCTCTCCCTCTGTCTCTCATTCCACCTCTCAAATAAATAAAATCTTTTAAAAAATAAAAAATAAGAAGATTATCATTTCCTTAGTAAGTGGAAAGCTTATGTTCTAACTCTTGCCTCCTATTTGTCCTAAATGGAAAAAAAGGAAACATTCAGTATTTTTTTTTAATTTTTTTCCTTTTGCCTTTGGTTCACCCTCCAATGGTGCGCCAGCCGTGGCGGCCATTGGAGGGTGAACCAATGGCAAAAGGAAGACCTTTCTCTCTGTCTCTCTCTCTCACTATCCACTCTGCCTGTCAAAAAAAAGAGATAAGCAATATCACCAGTCTGCACAGGATTTAATGGTTAAAGATATTTTGGGGGGCTGGCATAGCAGGTAAAGCCAATGCCTGTGATGCTAGCATCCCATAGGGGTGCTGGTTCATGTCCTGGCTGCTCCACTTCAGCTAAAGGCCTAGGAAAAGCATCAAAAAATGGCCCAAGTGCTTGGCTCCTGTCACCCAAGTGGGAGACTTGGATGAAGCTCCTGGCTTTGGCCTAGCCCTGCCCTGGCTGTTGCAGCTATCTGGGGAGTGAACCAGTGGATAGAAGATCTCTGTTTCTCACTCTCGCTATAATTCTGATTTTCAAATAAAACAAATAAATCTTTTAAAAATAAAAAGGATCTTGGATTAGTGACAAGTTGTTTTCCTTTTCCTTCTACTCTTCTTTTGCTCACACACACAAAAAAAAGGAACCAAATCTAAGAGCTGGTCATATCCTGTCTGGTAAAAATCTTTATTTGGTCACATAAGGGGAAGCTGGGAAAACTCTCAAAATTCCTCTTCACAAAATTTATCTCAACATTTCCAGAGAATATTAATAAGAATACAAGATGGATACACAAGTAAAATGGGCTTTGTGAGTACTGGTGAAATAAATACGCATAATCAGAGCCCAGATATCTTTTCAAGTCTCATTATCAAGATGTCAACATTTCCCAAATCAATCTATAGATTAAACACAATCTCAATTAAAATTCCAGCAGGTTGGGGTAGATGTGACTCAATGGGTTAAGTCACAACTTGGGACCCCTGCATCCCATGCTGGAGTGCTGGTTTGAGCTGATCTAGCCTTCTGCTAACATATCCTGCAAGGCAGTAGATAACAGCTGAAGAGCTGGGGTCCTGCAATCTAACGTGGGAGACCTAGATGGAGTTCCAGGCTCTTGGCTTCAGCTTGGCCCAGTCCTGGCTGTTAAAAGCATTTGGGGAGTTAACCAGATGACGCTCACTCTTTCAAGCAGATGAAAAACTTTAAGAGAAGAAAAGTAAAATCCAAATGATTATTTAAAGAAAAAAAAAAAATCCCAGCATGTTTCTCTTGAAATTGCCAAACTGGGGCCAGCGTTGTGGCATAGTGGTTAAGCTGCCACCTATGACACCGGCATCCCACACGGGCACCAGTTTGAGTCCCAGCTGCTCCATTTCTGATCCAGCTCCCTTCTAATGTGCTTGGGAAAGCAGCAGAGGATGGCCCAAGTGCTTGGGCCCCTCCACTAATGTGGGAGGTTGAGATGAAGCTCCTGACTCCGGGCTTTGACCTGGCCCCACCCTGGCCATTGTAGCCATTTGGGGAGTGAACCAGTGGCTGGAAGACCTTTTTCTCTGTCCCTCCCTCCCTCCCTGTAACTCTTTCAAATAAATGCATCTTTTTTTTTTCCCACAAAAATTGCCAAGTTGATTCTATGGAAATATGAAAGTATTTTGAAAAATAATAAAATTAGAGTACTAACACTAACAGATTTCTCTTTGTTCAATAAAGATTTATTTATTTACTTTTTTTGAAAGGCAGAGCTACAAAGAGGCAGAGGCAGAGAGAGAGAAAACTCTTCCATCCACTGGTTCACTCCCCAGGTGGCCACAATGGCCGGAATTGCACCAATCTGAAGCCAGGAGCCAGGAACTTTTTGCAGGTCTCCCATGTGGGTGCAGCACTTGGGCCATCTTCTACTGCTTTCCCAGGCCACAACAGAGAGCTGGATCAGAAGTGGAGCAGCCAGAACTTGAACTGGTGCCCCTATGGGATGCTGGCACTGCAGGCAGTGGCTTTACCTGCTATGCCGCAGCACCAGCCCCACTAACTGATTTCAAGATTTGTTTAAAAGGACAATAATCAAGACTGGTTTTGGCATGAGGATAAACATATAGAGCAATTGGCAGAGCAGAAAAAAGTACACACATATGTACTTTAGTGTGTGGTCAATGAGGCTAGGGCAGTTTGATTTTTTTTTTTAATCACATAGTGCCAATAATAATTAGATATCTAAATGTGAAAGAATGGATCACAGGCCTAAATATGAGTCAAGACTATATTTCTGGGGATAGCACTGTAGTGTAGTGGGTAAAGCCGCTGCCCGTAGTGCCAGCAACCCACGTGGGCAACGGTTCAAGTGTCGGTTGCTCCACATCCGATCCAGCTCTCTGCTATGGCCTGGGAAAGAAGTAGAAGATGGCCCAACTCCTTGGGCCCCTACACCCACATGGTAGACCCAGATAAAACTCCTGGCTCCTGGTTTCAGATCAGTCCAGCTCCAGCCATTGCAGCCATTTGAGGAGTGAACCAGCAGATGGAAGACCTCTCTCTTTGCCTTTCAAATAAATAAATCTTAAAAAAAAAAAAAAAAAAAAGACAAAGACTAAGATTTCTAGAAGAAAATACAGATAAAAGTCTTTGTGATCTTGGATTAAACAAATATTTCTTAGATATAAAAAAACTAAGTTTACTAAAGATAAAATAGGATTTTATAAAAATGTAAAACTTTCACTCTGTGAAAGATTATACTCAGAAAATGGAAAGACATGCCACAGAATAGAAATTACGTGCAAAACATAGCTGATGAAGAACTTGTATCCAGAATTACAAAACTTGGTATAGGGCTAATCTTATGAGTATAAATATTAACTGAAAATTGATCTCTGTAAAAAATAACAATGGGAAGGGAAGGAGGAGGAAGAAGAAGGGTGGGAGTATTGGGAGTGGGGGAGAAGCATCATGTTCCCAAATCTGTCTATATTAAATGCATGAAGTTGTATTCCTTAAGCAAAATAAATTATAAACCTTTAGCTCTTTGCCGCATCTACTGCGAGAATGAAGACCATTCTCAGCAATCAGACAGTCAACATCCCAGAAAATGTCAACATCAGTCTGAAGGGGCGCACAGTCATTGTGAAGGGACCCAGAGGAACCCTGCGGAGGGACTTCAACCACATCAATGTGGAACTCAGTCTCCTGGGAAAGAAAAAGAAGAGGCTCCGGGTTGACAAATGGTGGGGAAATAGAAAGGAACTGGCAACTGTTCGCACGATCTGTAGTCACGTACAGAATATGATCAAAGGGGTTACACTGGGCTTCCGATACAAGATGAGGTCAGTGTATGCTCACTTCCCCATCAACGTGGTTATTCAAGAGAATGGGTCTCTTGTTGAAATTAGAAATTTCTTGGGTGAAAAGTACATCCAAAGGGTTCGGATGAGGCCAGGTGTTGCCTGTTCAGTGTCTCAAGCCCAGAAAGATGAATTAGTGCTTGAAGGAAATGACATTGAACTTGTTTCAAATTCAGCTGCTTTGATTCAGCAGGCAACAACAGTTAAAAATAAAGATATCAGAAAATTTTTGGATGGTATCTATGTCTCTGAAAAAGGAACAGTTCAACAGACTGATGAATAAGACCTAAAAGTTATCCGGCTGCAGAAACAAGAACCCAGATTGTGTCTTGTGGTATTTTAATAATGCAATAAAAGATTATTGATTTGAGAAAAAAAAAAAAAAACCTTTAAGAAAACTTATTTATGGGGTTAGCGCCATAGTATAAAGTCACTGCCTGCCTGCGGCTCTGGCATCCCATACAGGCACTGGTTAGTGTCCCAGCTGCTCCACTTTTTTTTTTCTTCTTTTTATAGGCAGAGTGGACAGAGAGAGACAGAGAGAAAGGTCTTCCTTTTTCTGTTGGTTCACCCCACAATGGCCGCTGCGGCCAGCGCACTGCGGACGGCGCACCGCGCTGATCCGAAGCCAGAAGCCAGGTGCTTCTCCTGGTCTCCCAGGGGGGTGCAGGGCCCAAGCACTTGGGCCATCCTCCACTGCACTCCCAGGCCACAGCAGAGAGCTGGACTGGAAGAGGGGCAACCGGGACAGAATCCGGGACTAGAACCCGGGGCAACCGGGACAGAATCCGGCGCCCCGACCGGGACTAGAACCCGGTGTGCTGGTGCCGCAGGCGGAGGATCAGCCTATTGAGCTGCAGCACCGGCACTTGTTTATATCTTGTAAATTTTCATTTATGTTCTTTGTGGGCAATGATGCTTCCTTCTTGGTCCTGAAACAAAGACAGATCTTAGCTTTACCTTTTAGGTTCATAGCCCTGTACCCACCTCTTACTACAAAGAGGAAGGGCAAAGAAGCCAAAAGAAAAATCTGAAGGCATTAATTTTAAACATCACTTTGATATGGGCCCTTTATTAGTCTGTTTGCATTGCTAAAACAAAATACCCGAGGCTGGCTATTTTACAAAGAAAATATTTTTATTCAGTACACAGTTTTGGAGATTCAAGAGCATGGAGCCAGAATCTGCTCTGCTCTAATGAGGGCCTCTCAGCAGATGGCATCACATTGGCAAGAGTAGGCATAAAAGAGATCAAATGACGAGACAGGAAGCCAGAGATGGATTCCGCAGCCAGGCTTGCTCTTTTATAACCCATGCTCACAGGAACTAACCAGGGTTCCCACGAAAGCGCTAATCCCATCTGAATGCAATGCACCCGTGGACCTAGGCTTCATCTTTTACAGGTTCCACCACCTCAGTACCACTACAGAGGACACCAAGGCTTCCGCACATGAAAACCCTTGGGGTCAAAACACACTTAGACCACAGCAGACCTTCATGAAAATGTAAAGAAAGCTTCCTTGGCCGGCGCCACGGCTCACTAGGCTAATCCTCCGCCTTGCTGCGCCGGCAACCGGGACAGAATCCGGTGCCCCTCTTCCAGGCCAGCTCTCTGCTGTGGCACGGGAGTGCAGCGGAGGATGGCCCAAGTGCTTGGGCCCTGCACCCCATGGGAGACCAGGAGAAGCACCTGGCTCCTGCCATCGGATCAGCGCGGTGTGCCGGCCGCAGCGCACCGGCCGCGGCGGCCATTGGAAGGTGAACCAACAGCAAAGGAAGACCTTTCTCTCTGTCTCTCTCTCTGTCCACTCTGCCTGTCAAAAAAAAAAAAAAAGAAAAAAAAAGAAAGAAAAATAAAAAAAGCTTCCAGAGCCCCCCACCCAAAAAAGTATATACACACAAATGCTGATGCACTTTTTTGCAGTTCCAGGATCCCTTAAAACTTGATCACAGGTCCCAGAATAGGGACTCCTGCCTTAAGAGCATAACTACACAGTTTCAGACAATACAGACAAGTACTGAGTTGACACTAATTTGGAGTCATGCTGTCAACTCACAGAACACCAAAGGCAAGGCCATCAAGCAAAGAACAGCTAAACACCTAAACCAAAAGGCCTCTTTTATCAGAAACAGAAGGGAATAAAACTACTAGGTCAGCCATACACACCCACATTTGAACAATCAATCCTGGTACCATGAGATGCAACAGATGCCATACATTAATAGTAGGAGTAATAACAACTAATGCACTGCTCTGAGCATGTTGCATGAATTCATTTAATTTTTAAAACTGTTAGGTAGGAAGGTAGATATTAGCCTGTGTGTGTGAAAAGGGGCTAAGGGAAAAGATAAGAAGTTCGTGTGGGAAGGAACATAGCAACCTTAGAAGCAATGCTTTGGAAGCAGCCCAGTATGTACACATCAGAAGTACTGCCCATGTCCAATAACCATGGCGGGGGGGGGGGGGGGGTCCCAGCCCCACCCCCGGAAACATCCCAGGCCTAGCAGCAAGCAGGCTATTCGGTCTGACAAAGCCTCAGGAGGAATTTCATGTCCCAAAAACACTTTGCCCAGCAATATTCCAGAAGAGGGAAGGGGAAGAAGCAAAAGAAGGAAGAAGTGGATCCCATACCCCTGCAAGCCCCAGTCTAAATGCAGACTGGGCACTCAGTATCTTGCTGAGTCACCCCCAGCCTGTCTGGTGTACTCTTCAGTAAACTTTGCCAATCTGTGTCTCATTTCTGTAATTCTTTTAAGGAGGGGACAAGAAGCTCTGTCTCGGTCATCTCTGGTAACAAAACCACCTGAAGAGACACGTATTTTCCTTGTTTTAAAGGTGGGAAAACAGACGATTTCTTGCATATTGGAGAGAAGGCCTAATAAATGCATGACGTGCTTCCAGCATGTTTCCCTAGAGATAATGTGACCTATTATTTTATCAAACCTACCTGATAATAAGCCACAATAAAATAGGACCCATTAATGTTTGCTGTAAAAGTATATTGACTAGCCGGCACCACGGCTCACTAGGCTAATCCTCCGCCTTGCGGCGCCGGCACACCAGGTTCTAGTCCCGGTCGGGGCGCTGGATTCTGTCTGTCCCAGTTGCCCCTCTTCCAGGCCAGCTCTCTGCTGTGGCCCGGGAGTGCAGTGGAGGATGGCCCAAGTGCTTGGGCCCTGCACCCCATGGGAGACCAGGATAAGTACCTGGCTCCTGCCATCGGATCAGCGTGGTGTGCTGGCCGCGGCAGCCATTGGAGGGTGAACCAATGGCAAGGAAGACCTTTCTCTCTGTCTCTCTCTCTCTCACTGTCCACTCTGCCTGTCAAAAAAAAATAGTATATTGACTAATAAATTAGCTGGAAAGGGTTTTGATCATTCTGGAAGAAACACACCTCAAACCCCAAAACCTTTGCACTTCTGCCAAATATGTAAAATTACTGATCACCCACACTTTAAAAAGACAGCATCAACACTGACGTTCTTAGACTATGACACTCCCTCTTAAAACTCTCATTTTTGGACTCACTTCAAAAAACATTCTCAATAAAAGACGTGAATAAGTCAGGGCATTGCTGGGAGTATGCGCAGAAACTGCCATCCTTTCATCTACTAGACTTGCTCCCTGCCAGGGATCTGAAATGACTCCGCCAAACACAGGCAGCAAACAGAATGCTCTCAATCTCACGGGAACCAGGCCCCCAGGCAGTGAAGTTAGGGTGTGGCGAACTCACTCACTTTTTATTTTTAACCTGCACAAGCACAACCCTGGCCGGAATTGCTTTCCCCTTTTCAAATACTATTAATTAAACCTGCAATTTATACGCCACCCTCTTGTTTCTCAGAGCACTTCAGAAAAATTACAGTGTTACTGAGACTGGAGACACAAACATTCTGGACATTATTCTAAAATCTTAATTTCTCATGCAATTGAAAAACCACAAGCAACTAGGCTGCCATTTAAGCAACTGCTGCCTTTTTTTTCTTTTTAAGATTTATTTATTTAGCCAGCGCCGTGGCTCAACAGGCTAATCCTCTACCTAGCGGCGCCGGCACACTGGGTTCTAGTCCCGGTCGGGGCACCGGATTCTATCCTGGTTGCCCCTCTTCCAGGCCAGCTCTCTGCTGTGGCCAGGGAGTGCAGTGGAGGATGGCCCAAGTCCTTGGGCCCTATACCCCATGGGAGACCAGGAGAAGCACCTGGCTCCTGGCTTCGGATCAGCACAGCGTGCTGGCCATGGCGGCCACTGGAGGGTGAACCAATGGCAAAAAGGAAGACCTTTCTCTCTGTCTCTCTCTCTCACTGTCCACTCTGCCTGTCAAAAAAAAAAAAAAAAAAAGATTTATTTATTTAAAAAGCAGATTAACAGAGATTGTCCATCTATTGGTTCACTCCCCTGATGGCTACAATGGCCAGGGCTAGGCCAGGATCAAGCCAAGAGCCAGAAACTTCAGCTGGGTCTCCCACATGGGTGGCAGGGGTCCAAGTATTTGGGTCATTTTCCACTGCCTTCCAAGGCACATCAGCAGAAGTTAGATGGAAGTGGAGCAGCCAAGACACAAACCAGCACTCCAATATATGTCAGTGTCAGGCAGTGGCTTAACCCGCTGTGCCACAGTGCAATGCTGATTATTGACAATGCTACCGCACAAGTAGTATTAAACCCTAGCTCAGGGCCACATGCACAAGAAAGCCTGATTATTTGCATTCCATCTGCATAAAATTAATCCTGTGCATAAACTGTTGAGAGGAAATGGCTTAAAGTTTAAATGAACTTAATTATCTTGTAACCACACAAGATATATTCAGATGCTATACTGTCATTGGTTCTATTTCATTGAAAGAAATAATGAATAATTGACGAAAAACTATATATGGGTGAAATGGTCATTTTTCTATCCAATTTCATTGTTTATAGCCATTGTAATATTCCCACTAAACAAGGGTCTTTTTGCTTTTTACTTGTTAAACTTTTTATTCAGTGAAGCACTAAGCCTTCTTACTGTGATGTAAGTTTAAAATAAGTTATCTCAAAAACTGAAAAAAAAAAAGAAGTTAGGAGGGTGGTAGGGAGGGAGGGCGGTTTTATCATGTTTAGACTTGTACCTATAAATCATACTGAATCTGTTAAAAAGTAAAATGAAAAAGTAATCTGAGAAGCGACGCCGACGCTGCTTCTAAGCAAAGCCAAATTTGCTTACAGTGAGGTCTGCGCACCCTGTGGGGGCTGGGGGAGTCCGACTTGGCTTTGTCCTGCAAAGCTTCATCAGAGCGTTCCGCAGCATCTGCAAGGCCTCGCTCAGGATCACTCGATGTTGATTTTCCTGCTTCTTTTACACTGGACTTGTCAAGGTTTTCAGACATTCTCAGTTCAGTTTGAATGCTTTCCTAGGAAAGAAAATACAATGAACCAAGAGTTCTAGCTCTGTTGCCAACTAGCAGTGTGATTCTACACAAATCCTTCATCTTTTCAGACTTCGGTTTTCTCACCTATAAAATAAATGGACTGGGGTCGTCACTGTGGCATAGCAGGTAAAGGCCCAGTTTGAGTCCTGGCTGTTCCACTTCCCATCCAGCTCTCTGCTATGGCCTGGGAAAGCAGAAGATGGTCCAAGTGCTTGGGCCCCTGCACCCACGTGGGAGATCCAGAAGAAGATCCTGGCTCCTGCCTTTGGATCAGTGCAGTGCCAGTCGTTGTGGATAACAGGGGAGTGAACCAGCAGACGGAAGACCTCACTGTCTGCCTCTAATTCTGCCTTTCAAATAAATAAATAAATCTTAAAAAATAAATGGACTTGCTAAGATCTTACTCAGCTTTAATACTGCACTTCAGGCCGGCGCCGCGGCTCACTAGGCTAATCCTCCGCCTTGCGCCGGCACACCGGGTTCTAGTCCCTGTCGGGGTGCCGGATTCTGTCCTGGTTGCCCCTCTTCCAGTCCAGCTCTCTGCTGTGGCCAGGGAGTACAGTGGAGGATGGCCCAAGCACTTGGGCCCTGCACCCCATGGGAGACCAGGAGAAGCACCTGGCTCCTGCCATCGGATCAGCGCGGTGCGCCGACCTTTCTCTCTGTCTCTCTCTCTCACTGTCCATTCTGCCTGTCCAAAAAAAAAAAAAAATACTGCACTTCAATGATTAAACAGACACTTGAAAAGCAACACCCGTGATTTATCAAATTTGTGGAGCTCTGATAGTGTTAAGTTGGGATATTTCTGACCCAGGCCCAAGTACCATGTCACAAGAATCAGGGCCTGAAATTATTAGAAGGTGACATTATAAACTGCTTGCTTTTAGTTTAAAAAAAGGAAGCGATTCAATCTTAAGTTTTTGAATTTTGTTCCTGAGCGCTGATAGGGAAACTCCTTGGATATAATGCTTTTAATCAGGCTTCCAAGTGAATACACAGAGCTGTAGAGCTGATTTCCTGACTCTATCATGTGGATAAGGTATCTGGTGATAACAATCAGGACTGTAGACTTTTTTTTTTTTTTTTGACAGGCAGAGTGGAGAGTGAGAGAGAGACAGACAGAGAGAAGGTCTTCCTTTTGCCGTTGGTTCACCCTCCAATGGCCGCCACACCACACTGATCTGAAGCCAGGAGCCAGGTGCTTCTCCTGGTCTACCATGGGGTGCAGGGCCCAAGTGCTTGGGCCATCCTCCACTGCACTCCCGGGCCACAGCAGAGAGCTGGACTGGAAGAGGGGCAACCAGGACAGAATCCGGCGCCCCGACCGGGACTAGAACCCAGTGTGCCGGCGCCACAAGGCGGAGGATTAGCCTAGTGAGCCGCGGCGTCGGCAGGACTGTAGACTCTTATGCAGCATTTAAGAGAAATGTATGGGGCAAATATTTTCATTAACTCATTGCCAGACAATAGGAAAACATGGCAAATAAAGTAAGAAGTTGCAAGTAACTTAAATACCTGTGATTGGGTGGGGTTTTCATTCTTTCAGGTGATTGGTATAGGATTGACACCTGACACTTAGGTTTGCAGTTATTCAAGGGCTTTTTTTTTTTTTTTTTTAAGATTTATTAGAAAGGCGGGGGTGGGGTGGGGATGGGGTTAGAGAGGATCTTCCATCTGCTGGTTCACTTCCCAGATGCAACAGCCAGCTCTGGACCAGGTCAAAGCCAGGACCCAAGCACTTAGGTCATCATCTGCTGCCTCTCCTAGGTACATCAGCAGGAAGCTGGATCCGAAGCAGAAGCAGTACTTGATCCCAGGCACTCTGATTTGGTATGCGGGGTTCCGGAGCAGCAGCTCAGCAGAGTGCACCCAATAAAGCTCTCTGAATTACACAAAATCCTTTCATTAAAGCCACAGCCCCCTCCACCCCCCGCCCCAGGTTTTCTATTCCTAGGGTGTTTCTCATCAAGGAAGAAGACACAATGTTTCTGCATTAACAATACTGAAAATAATTAGCATTTGTACTGGCAGCACCTGAAGATCGTAAAACACATCCATATACACTAATTAGGCTCTATTACACACCTGAGAGATAGTCAAGGGATCAAAAGAAACGTTGACTGCTCCAGGGAGGCCTGCCAGACTCTTCTACACATTTGAAAGGAATCACTTGATACAATTATCTGAGATTTTAGGGATCTCCATTCAATAGAACAAAGTTACTAGAACTGAAATTTTTCAGGCCTTTATTACTAACAGGAAGGTTATTTTAATTCATTCCCTCCTTCCAGTATCATTTTACCTTCCAACACCCATCTCCTCAGCTCTAAATCCTATTAAGGGTTTGGAAATGCTCCAAGAGCCAAAGGCTAACAGTAACCAGCATATTCCGTAAGAAAGGACAAACACAAACACTCCTAATTTTATCTTCCTCACATGATGAGAAGCAGCCCAGAACGGATGAAGTAATTCATCGTGCGCAGGGAAGGGGAAAGGCAAGAGTTCTAGGTCTCTAAAGCTCAGCTGAGTACACTAACCCCATCCTTTTAAAATTCAAGTCCTATCTCCGCCGGGATACTTCATCACCACCCCCACCCCCACCCGCGCTGCTAAACCTCCCGTTACTAGGGATCCCGCACGATCACTGCCTTAAATTCAATTCAAAATATGCTCATTTGAGTAAGACTAGAAAGATGAAAATAGTCTACAAAGGGAGGTATTCGTGCTTACAAGGAACCATAATAAGACTTAAGCACTAAGGGTGGCATTTTGAAACGGTTCGGGATCTTAGGAATAGCAGAGGGAGAAACTAATCCTGCCTGGAAGGAGTATGGGAAAATCTTCCCGGAAAAGATGACACTTGAGCTGGTCTTTGAAAGGAGTCGGATTTCACTCAAAAAAAAAAAAAAAAAAAAAAAAAGTAGGGAAGGGGGGGAGGGGCACTTCACTGGCTAAGTGACAAAAGTGGGAGACGGCCGACGGCAAACGTGTCACTTTCAGCTCTGTAAGAACTCTTCACCCGGCTTTTTTAGCTTCCTGCAAGCCAGGACCAACCACATTCCCCACACCTACGGCACACGCACAGGTGAACTCCCCCAGGTAGATCCCCACTTAGTTTGGCTGCAGCGACGAATCCCTGTGTCATCCGGGATGCCACTGCGTTGGGGAGCGCTGGACGCTGGCCGCAGCCACCCCTGGCCCTCTGCGAGCCGCGCACTTTGGGGGTCTCCCGTCTGTACAATGGAGCCAGCCCACCTACCGCCTCGGTATGGGTAAAGAGTCAACGCGGGGCCGGGCACCCAACGGCTCTCCGCAAATGGTAACGAACGAGATGCCGGGGCCACAGGAACCATTCACCTGCTCACACTGCGCTCGCTCGCTCACTCACTCAGCAACCCCGAACAAGCCCACAGACGGAGCCGAGGGTGCCGGGATCCTCGCACCTGCGGGGAGGACCGGCATCTGTGAGAGCCGCACGCGGGCCCACGCTGCACCCGAGGGGCTCCCCGCCAGAGAAAGGGGCTCCGTCCCGCGGCGCGGGGAGTCGCTTCCGGCGGCCCTCAGTGCCGCTCCCCCCACCTCCAGATTCCGTTGTAAACAACTGTTTGGGCAGCGAGGGAGTGGCCGGGCCGGCCGCGGGCGAGGGAAGCCGGGCGTGCCCGGAGGGCGGCCTCGAGAGGTGGGCTCCACCCGCCCGGCGTCCCTGCCTCTTCCTCGCCCCCGCCTGGCATCGCCCGGGCCCGACCCGACGGGGAAAACCAAACAAATGCCTGTGCCTGCGCCCTCGCGCCTCCCGTGCGGGCCCCGCCAGCCTCCGCGCCCGCTCCCCTCACCTGTCGCGGAGTCGCCGTTCTCCCTGCTGCCTCTCCCGCCGCGAATCAGCGCGAGGGGCGGGCTCCGCGGCACAGAGGCGGGAGCGATGCGCGGGGGGCAGGGGCGGTTCAGCCTCGGCCCCTCAGAGGCCGCATCCCTCGCCGCGCTGCGGGCGGTTCTCCCTGCCCGCTTCCAGTGGGCAACAGCCAAAGGGGCTGCTCTCGAGCGTCGGGAAGCGGGGAGGCAGCACTTATCCCGGCGGCGCCTGCTCCGCGCAGGGAAGCGCCATGTTTTTGTACGGAAAGGCGGGCGGCTCGCAGCTGGGCGGCGCCATGGTTCTGTACGGAAAGGCGGGCAGCGCGGCAGCTGCCAGCGACCTGAGAGGGACGCAAGGGAGAGAGGGCGGGAAAAGGAAAGGCTCTTCGGGCGCAAAGGTAATCAAAACCTTCCCCGCCTGGGCTTTGAAATTTAAATATTCCGTCATCCCTGTCACTACCCAAAGTTTATTCCTGTGCCTTGGTTTGGGTGGTTAAAGGTACGCCCACCACGCGGACAGTCAAGCCTCAGCGGCTGACTTGGTTTGGGTTTTGAGTCATTTCTTGGGCTGCTGCCCGTTGTCTGTTGGAAGATTAAGACTTCAGCTCTGAAACGCCCGCAGGCCGGAGGTAAGCGTCGCCTAAGGGCTCCTCCGGGTGTGGACAGTTCCCACGCGGTGAGCGCTCAGAGCGTTCCAGAAAGGATCAGCGTTCTCCCGGTGAACCCGGACAAGGGAAGCCCAGTTGGTAGCCTCGGCCCCCGAGCCGGGGCCGTGACTGTTGGGCTTTTTCCAAACTACACTGATAGTTTGCCCCTGTACCCCTTCTTAAAAAGTGCAAGGTATGTGAGTCTTGCTAACGGTGCATTTGTAATTACGCCTTAAAATGAAGTCTCCTACCTACAGCCCATTACACTTAATTAATTAGCACAAAACAGATAAGGGAGAATTAGTGCTTGCAAACACTCTTACTTTCTAAATAGATATGTAGGTAGTTATTCCTCAAGTATTAGTGGTTGAGTGCAATACAGCACCCTCAAACCATTTATCAATTAGCATGTAAGAATGTCGCCTTAAACACACACACATTCTCAGATGAAGATTCCCTTTAGGAGAGAAAAATCCCCGAACCCTGAAGATGTTCAACTGGAACAGCTGAGATCCTCAAAGAAGACACTCAGTTCTCACTGAGTACAGACTTCGCAGCACAAAGTCTCCAAATTAGTGTTTGTTAATGCTGACAACATCTTAGAATCTGGGGGACAGTGGTTCTAAAACTATCCATCCCAAATCCGGGGTGAGGATGGGGTGATGCCACACAAGAAGGCGTAAAACCTTACCAGGTGTTCTAGTCTGCAACCCGGCTACAGCTCCATCCATGCCTCTCAGAGTAGGAGTCCTCTACCTTCCTTGAAGGATTAGTATCACCAGGTTTCACTCATTGGGATCAATGGATTAATAAAACCCAAGTTTCTCTTGGAGAGGATGCTGTGACCATACCAAAACTACTGATTTAATTTGGAATGATTAACCTGTAAGCTTTGGATGTTTGAAACCTGTTTCCTTTAAATACATTGACACATGTTCCTTTCATCATTGGCTGCAGGGACTGGAAACTCCAATTGCTCAATTGAAAGGGAGTGCACTGCAAGGCTGCTGGACTTGGAAGGAGAAAGACGCAGCTGCTCCGGGGCTCAGCTCCCAGCCTGTTGCCTTCCTGGAACACAGGGCTCTCTTTCATCACATCGCTGCTTCTCCCTATAGTCTATTCCACTCCTCCCTCTACTTTGAAGGTTTGTTGTTGTTGTTGTTGTTTTTAAGATTTATTTCTTTATTTGAGAGGTAGAGTTACAAAGAGAGGGAGAGACAAAGGTCTTCCATCCACTGGTTCACTCCCCAAATGGCCCCAATGGCTGGAGCTGGGCTGATCCAAAGCCAGGAGCTTCTTCCAGGTCTCCTACGCAGGTGCGGGGGCCCAAGGACTTGGGCCATCTTCTACTGCTTTCCCAGGCCATAGCAGAGAGCTGGATCAGAAATGAAACAGCCAGGACTTGAACCAGCACCCATATGTGGTGCTGGCACTGCAGGTGGTGGCTTTACCTGCTAAGCCACAGCTGGCCCAAGGTTGGATTTTCTTTTTTTTCTTTTTTTTTTTTTTAAAGATTTATTTATTTTTTTGAAAGTCAGAGTTACACAGAGAAAGGAGAGACAGAGAGAGAGCGGTCTTCTATCCGCTGGTTCACTTCCCAGTTGGCCACAACGGCTGGAGCCAGGCCAATCCGAAGCCAGGAGCCAGAAACTTTTTTTTTTTTTTTTTTGACAGGCAGAGTGGACAGTGAGAGAGAGAGAGACAGAGAGAAAGGTCTTCCTTTGCCGTTGGTTCACCCTCCAATGGCCGCCGCGGCCAGCGCGATGCGACCGGCGCACCGCGCTGATCCGATGGCAGGAGCCAGGAGCCAGGTGCTTTTTCCTGGTCTCCCATGGGGTGCAGGGCCCAAGCACCTGGGCCATCCTCCACTGCACTCCCGGGCCACAGCAGAGAGCTGGCCTGGAAGAGGGGCAACCGGGACAGAATCCGGCGCCCCGACCGGGACTAGAACCCGGTGTGCCGGCGCCGCTAGGCGGAGGATTAGCCTAGTGAGCCGCGGCGCCGGCCAAGGTTGGATTTTCTTACTCACTATGCCCTCACACTTTAGACATACCTATACAGAATTCAACTGGCCAAGCTCATTTTGCAGTCTTGGCAGCCTACAGGGAGGCTGCCCTTGGACCAGGGACCTACTCTTATCCACTGTTAGGGTGGGAGCAAGGCTCAAGAATCACTCAGGTATGAGGTATACAAGTATACACAGGGATGGGTCCCCAAGAAGGTGTCCTAGATGCATGAGGGCCTACAGCAGCCGGTAATTCACCGTTCTAGTGATCCAGGAAGTCTACTCAAGGTATTCAGGGTAGCACTAGACCTGGTTTCAAACCTTCCTGATGCCTGCAGTGAACATGTGCAATTCTTCTTAAAATTTTATTCTAATGAAGTTAGGTAAACTGTCATGCTACTAGCATATTTTCCATGAAACTGTTCTAGTAGAATGTTGTGCCTTCTAGAGGCATGAACATAACTAACCAATTAGTTCTGGTTTCCCCTGAGGTATTAGTTTTGGTTGCCAAATAATTATGCTACTCAATTATGTGCAAAATCAGGATTGCAGATCAGACAGCATATAGCTGCGCTGCCTACTTGATTGGTCTTACCAGTTTCAGCAGCTTATTTCTGAAAACTCCCTATACACAACTAAATCATGAACTATTCTGTTGCCTCGTTGTAGAGAGGTACTTTCCCTTCTTACCTATGTAAAAAACCTGATATTCTGTTTAATTAGGCAAATTGGTATCATATATACAGTACAGATGTTAGTCCTTAAGTTTCATTTAAAGACTAGTAAGCATCCGTTATAGTTGAGAAAAAAGGTCATTGATATGCAAATATTTGGATACATAACTTCTTTCCCTACTTCTCAGTAATAGTCTGTTAAAATAGTTAAAATTCAGTGTGCCGGGCACCAGGATGGGTGCATACAAGTACATCCAGGAGCTGAGGAGAAAGGAGCAGTCAGATGTGACACCCTTGCTCCTAAAGGTCCACTGCTAACAGTACTGCCAGCTGTCTGTGCTCCACAGGACTCCCTCCCACCTGACAAAGCATGCAGACTGGGACACAAGGCCAAGCAAGGTGATGTGTATGTAGGACCTGGGACACAAGGCCAAGCAAGGTGATGTGTGTGTAGGACCTGGGACACAAGGCCACGCAAGGCATGTGTATGTAGGACCTGGGACACAAGGCCAAGCAAGGCATGTGTATGTAGGACCTGGGACACAAGGCCAAGCAAGGCATGTGTATGTAGGACCTGGGATACAAGGCCACGCAAGGCATGTGTATGTAGGACCTGGGACACAAGGCCAAGCAAGGTATGTGTATGTAGGACCTGGGACACAAGGCCAAGCAAGGCATGTGTATGTAGAACCCATGTGCACTGTGGTGTCCATAGCACACATTTCCTAAGGGTGCGACCCACAGCAAGCCTGTCCATCATGGTGTTAGGTGGCTGAAGTCTGCATGCCTTCAGTGTGCTGCAAAGGAACAATCTGGACAGAACTGTGGGGGTTTTCAGAGTCCTGTATTCTTACTGGGTTGGTGAAGAGTCCATGCACACATTCCTTGAGGTTATTCTTATTCATTCCATAAAGTTATCAGAAGGGGTCAGTGTTACGGCACAGTGCGTTAAGCCACAACATGACATGCCAGCATCCCATATAAGCACCAGTTCAAGTCCCGCCTACTCTACTTCTAATCCAGGTTCTTGGTAACATACGTGGGAAGGCAAGAGAGGATGGCCCAGGTACTTGGGCTCCCGCCACCAATGTGTGAATCCCAGGTAGAGTGCCAAGTGTCTGGCTCTGGCCTGGTCCAGCCTCGGCTGTTGCAGCCGTTTGGAGGGAGTTAATCAGCTGGTGGAAGATCTCTAACTCTTTTAAATAAATGTCTTTTAAAAAACAAAAAGCTATTGGAAGAAATCCTGACACTCAGTGGACAAACACAGGGAGATGCGTGGCCTGACATCTGCAGGCAGCAAGAGCAGTAGACTCAAAAATCACAAGTTCACCCCTATTGATGGTTCTCAACACGCAAAGGTGCAAGAAGCCTCCAGCTGCACCGTTACCACTCATACAAGAAATCATTGCCAAACAGA